GTCACTGCTTCTCACTAGAGCTCCTAGATATACTTCTCGAAGTCACTAGTGAGCATATGATTATATTAATTATCAGAAGGGGTTTTGTGGAGATTTAGTAATTATCATAGTTGAAAGCGTGAGTCAATTGACTCATGCTTTCTCCTTTGTAAAATCTTGTAATTACAAAAAATTTTGCGACAAACATTTTTATATTACTGTAACTCATTAGTAGTCCATTCATTTCAATAAAAAAATAAAACTATGAAAAATTTCATAGGTGAAAGCGTTAGTCAATTGAAGCTAGACCACCATGGAAAACCTAGAAGCACTAGACAGCCGTTTCGTCATATTGTGAGACTCCTCAGCAGTTCGCATCCACGATCCCGCGTTGAGAGATTCAAACTTGAGACATACCAGTCTCGCACCACAGCACTTAGGCGATAGACCACTGAGCAAGCATCCGATGGAGTTTATGTTTATTTTTGCAAAGCGTTAGTACGTTTAAACTATTCAATATTCTTTGTCAAAATATTATTCGAGCAGCATTAAAGTGTGTATTTATTCTAAGATCAGATTATCAAACAATCTGATTCATTCATTCATTATCCATAGATGTTTTGTGTTACTAACAAATTATTCAGTCGAATATTCAACTATGTATGTATTCGCAATTATTCGCTTAACTTATTTTGATTTGCATTTGAGTAAGATTATTTATTGTGAGAGTTCGAGCTCAACCAAAATGAAAGTATAGTTGTTGAATGCTTTCAAAGGTGCAGAACAAGCAAGTCAATTAGATTCACGAATGTTAGTTTTATCGATCTGAGATGATGATTGGAGCGATGAGGGTTTGATGAAAAGTTAATCATCATTGGTACCATTTTCTTAGTGTTCACTAATAACCTACATTCATTATGAATTATTTGATACTATGTGATTGATTGAACCAAGAAAATCTCTCTCTGATGGTTAAAAAAGCAAGAATTCCGACTAAATTGTGAAGGATATCCAAGGATGTTTTTTGGAGTACAGAAAGAAGATAAAATCTATTGAAAATTCTTCCAGATAGTTCATGCTAATGATCTTCATCTGACTTAAATTATTCATGTGTACTGAACTGAATCCGTTTCCATTGTTTCGTGATGCTCAGTGGATATTGTAGGAATAATTCTTTTAGAAGAAAATAGGCAGAAGATAGAGGTGAACACGTCAATACAATTCCACCACATGACAACAAATTCACATTCAGCATCCGTACAGTTATTCAAACCAGGTTTTCATTTTGATAGACGAAAATTATCATCTAACAGTGTATCGCTTCATACCATGACAGATAGGTCATTCATTATTCATCAAGATTTAGTGAAGTTGACAGCTGACATGGGTCATAATATCTATGTAGACTGGATGCATCACACTTCTGGGAGGACTGAAAATATTAGTATGCGTAATATAAATGTGATTAATAGTCTTTGCATAAGTTAATATAAATGATGACACAATACTTTAATGACTAGTTGGTTTGACAATATATTTCGCAATTTTTGAGTTACTACTTATTAGGTTACAGTAGTAATATAATTCCAATGTCGAAAGGGTCATAGATAAACATTGAAAACTAAAAATCTCTGAGAAGCTGTTTCGTCGTGATATGGAGCTCTTCAGTAATACCCATCTATAACACGAACCGTGAAAGAGAAAAGATCCTCCCGTTTGAAACTCGAACAATTGCCCTATACCACTTAGCCAAGATTCTATGATGTGAAAGATCAATCTTCACCAATCTTTCATAATGCTCAACCGTCTATTAATATTTTCGACTGATCCCTTCTTCACACACATAAAACGTTGTAGTAACAATTGTTAATTGTCCTATTGTTTTATAAAAGATAATTACACTTCTACATAAGATATCTTATCATACTCGTGTTGTTGGTACAAATTCAATTAAAGATAATTACTAAACAAAGCTTTTCTCAGCACTACTAAATCAATATTCAGTCATAGTTCTTTAACATTGGAGTGTATGAAGTACCGACTTTACCTTTAATACTATTCAACAATTCGCATTGCATTTTCCAATGAAAGATACAATTTGGCTGACTATGGACTTTAAATCCCATTGGTTTCTGATTGATAAATAAATAAATTTTTTCACAGTTGAAATCATGAGTCATTTGAAGCTAGAACACCATGGAAAACCAAGAAGCACTGAACGGCCGTTTCGTCCTATTATGGGACTCTTCAGTAGTGCGCATCCACGATCTCGCCGTTATTGTATCATTGGCTTTGATTCTTTCTGTATTTAAAATAAAATAATCTTATATCTAGTGTGTTGGTTTGGTTTTTAGATGAAATTAAAGTAAACAATTCGTTTGGTTCTGTTGTCATTATGTTTGAACAAATATTGGGCAGTCAAAAATGTCATCAGTTTATCAGCAATTATCTGATGAAGGGACAACGGGTAATGTAAAACATCACAAGACTTTTTTAAACGATAAATTAGAAACTAAGCTCATAGGATTGTGAGATTGTGGAAAAGATTTGTAGCTCAGGTGGATTATTTTGATGAAGTTTTGTTCTCTGAGCTGCATGGTTTGGTTGGGCAGCTTTCATCGTCCTTCTGAACGACATCATCAGTACAAACATCGAATAGAAGTGAAGGGTTTGACTTTCTCCATCTGTGATTCATAACTTGTCCTACATACCTCAATATTGATTTATTCTTGTTAACCTTAAATCTGTCAATTTATGTAAGCATAAATTACAAACTGTCCTATTAAGATCAGATAATCATACAATGAACAGTTAATTTGCAAAATAACCATCAATCGTCTCAATCTTCACTGTTCCTTCTGTAAATATCAATCCATCTTCTATAAATTCACTGTTCATGCATTTTCCTACTAATGGTACTATATTTCAGTTCTTCCTTATCGGTCTTCTATCAGAATACATTTTATGTCTAATCATCGCCACATACTACTTATAAGGATATAAGTAGACCGCACTACATTATTGCCTATAGGTTATACAGCGTATTCATTTTTTTTAAGTAATAGTTTATGTACAATATGCTGTTTCACAAGAGAAACAAAAACTATTCTCCAAATACTGAGGGCTAATTTAACTTCATATTTGTCAACATCAAACATTATTTAATCTGAGCACTGTTTCTCAAATACGTTCCAAAATGTTATACGCCCATTTAAATTAAGAAAACTCTGAGTTATTGTTTAGTGCTACAATGAAACTAATTCATAGTGAGCATCTAAGACTTTACCAGAGATTGAAATCGGGACGATTAAGGTTTGTGATGAGCCCTCAGCCGCTAGTATACTGATCTGAAATTCAGTGGTTCACATTTGTAAATCCAGTTATTTTGTGATATTAATAGGCCATCATCCATTGTAACTCCGCCTGTAGCTCTTCTGGAGTTACTGCCGGTCCCAAGCCCAGGATCGTTGCTATTTTTACTTTTATTATTTTCTTACATATGCTGCTGAAGTTTACTATTTCAATCTCATTCTAGAGATTGGAAACCTATATATTGATCAGTTCTTCTAAGTACCGCTCTCGTATACTATGCCAACAACACTGGAAACAGTGTCTTGATTCTGCTTCTCAAAGAATAACGGAACGCATATCTGTTCCTTAACTTCAGCCCCGACCGTTGCTGCTACCTTGACGTGGTGGTCGGGCTTGCCTATCGTGATGATCCAATCGAGCTATGCTGGCTGGAACAATCGTTCCTCAAGGTCCTACCATGCCAGACTGGTCGATTGAAGAGCGGTGAGACTAAAAGCAGCAATCCCAAGGTCCGAAGGCGAAGTCGTACTGCTGACTGTACAGAGGTGTGAAAGCAGTAAGGTGTTTCCTTCAGACAACCAGCATGACAGGGATGCTGCCTTCCCACAAGGAGGGGTGGGGTTAGAAAAGGTCGACCCTAAAAATGCACACCTCGCCTTATCCCACGGATTTCCGTCTCCGGCGGTAAGGACTTTTGAAGAACGGAGCTAACACGTCAAAAATCCCCCACAAAAAGGCCGTGCGTGACCGGCCTCAAGCAGATGTCCCTTGGGCACTGCGGTCACGCACCCAGGTCGTTAAGACCAACACTAATCCAACTTCTTTTTCAGGTCCCTCAAGAAATACCCTTCCACGGTGTGGGCAGCCGGGAAGTGATACTAGCCCTCATACCCTTAGCTGCACACAAGACCAAGTTGGTCGCTTTCAAATCCTTCCTACACCTCCTAATAACTCTGTTATCTCCACGACTAACCCTTCCCACGTCCTTTTATCACCTCGCACCGCTAGGGCAAACGATTCGAGTACACGGCATCTGTGTGCTAATGTGGTATGGCAACTCGAACTGATGTACGTACGTACGAAGTTCTACGTTGTGACTGACTGACTGACTGACCTTAACTTCAGCTCATCATTCACTGAAATCATGTAGAATTTACATTAGATGTTGTAATTTTTTTTATATCTAATTAATGATAACTTTGCATTACTGTTGGATCTACCTTAGAAATAAATTTTTAACGACAAGGAAATATAAAAGTAAAGTAATGGACAGATGTGTGAGTGAATACACATACATGTACTTGAAAGAAGACACTATTACTACTACTAATACTACTAGTAGTAGTAAGGTGTCCCTACATTATAACAAGGTGATAATATGAAAGTCTATTAGTAAAGTAGCTGCTCATTATAGAACTAACAACATTCACACACACACACACACTCACATAGATACTCACCTCTTCATTTAGGTCATCTTTTCTTAATTACCTTTCAATAACACTTTTTAATAAATGAAACAGTTTACTTAGTAACAATAACCATCCATTAGATCACTTCACTGTACTATAAGTCAGTATTTATATGAAAGTTAGTCATATATAAACATCAATATAATAAGTATAGATTATTATTATTATTATTATTAATTTAAATTATTGATTTTTCAATTTAAACTTATTTAAAATTGTGAAGCTGTACATTCACACACACACACACACACACAAACGCACACACACATACTTTATATACTCATGTATTTCTTATTTTGGTGTATTACCCTCTTTGTGTAAATTCACGTATTGGTCACCACTGTTGATGATGTAGATGAAAATGCGATCAACAAACAGTATTCATCTTCATTAATGAAAGTAGTTCTTCTCTTATATACGATTGGATCTTATCATATTCACCTTAATATCTGTGAAGAGTCCTTGAATGAGAAACAACAGTGATATTGACATAAACTATTCATTATAGACACTTGGTTATACACCTCTATATATATAAAAGGATTTGCTATAATGATTCTTATTGTAATACTGGTCAAACAATCATCATACATGTAAAGTATCATCTTTATCTTTGTTTATAAACTGTTCATTGAACAATGAATGATCTTCAATGATTGTACAAAATGTTGCTGATGTTGATAATAACAATCATTTAATTAAGTAGTACATTGATATCACCATTCGTTAAATGTCAATTCCCGATGGAACAATCCGTAAGTTTTGTTTTAGATTAACGATTATTTTATTTAATTAATGTGAATGAATGTATATACTAAAAGAAAAATAGAAACTATTCTATCAGGTTTATTGAATTTCCTTCATGGTGGTGCATTGACTAGAGTTAGGAGATGCCTTTCAAAACTATATTGGTGAAGATATCTAGGAGGAAGTCTCCAGAATCACTGACAAAATAACAACCGTTAGCCATGATAAAGCCAACAGTATCGGGTTATTTAGACTGTTGAGTTTCACTGAGATCATGAACTGATCAATGTTAGACCATTTTTAAAAGCCTGGAAGCATCGGATGGTCAACGCACGGCATCATGAGTGCGCAATATAGAGTAATCACACACTACGAAGAAACGGTCATCCAATATATCTAAGTTTTTGCCAATGGCCTAACATTGTTCGGTTCACGATTTCAAGGATTGATAACAGTCATTACAAGTATTCATGACTTAGACCTCAAATACTTGAACCGATGACTTTTTCTAATTTGAATCCCAAACTCGTTTTATACAAATTACTTCGTTGTCTGTCAATTCAACTTTTAGGATGGATAATATGGTTTAAATTCGTGTAAACTATCCTGAGTAATTTCAAATAAATATGTCATTGACTATAAGAAAATAAACAGTGAACAATGGACCCCCCTGTTAAGTTGATGCAGGTAATTATGATTACTGGATGGTAGGTTAGATAGAATAATCCATAAATGTACCTGGTCCTATGTTGTAGCTGACTGACTGACTGATCCAAATCTTCACAATGTATGATAATAGGAAAGACTGACCATACCCAATACACATCATTATGTGTCAGATAAACTACCACAAGATTAGTTAAAAATTATCAGAAATGACATAAAAATAATGTGTTCACTGATGACTATCTTCAAGAAGAACTTGGCAGAGTTCTAATGAGAAGCAGTGATCAGCGGAGTCCAGTCCATGTGGAGTCGAGACAGTTAACCACACCAGACAATGGATGAATGTTTGCACATAGTCATGGATTGATTGAAGTTAGACATAAACACCGATTCAGTGGTATTTAGGTTGAACATTTGCGCGAAAGACCGAAGGTCTTGTGTCCGATTCAGACTTGTGGAATCGCGGGTGCATACTGTTGAGTAGTCCGATACCAGGACGATACGATCGTCCAGTAAATCCAGGTTTTCAATGGTGGTGTAGCTTAAATCAACTTATGAATTCAACAATTAGCATGAAAGTTGTTCGTTTTACATAATACGTCATTAGGTTATGAAGTGATTGACTATTGATATTAGCCCTGTTGGTAAACGAAAATCACTTGGTTGAGAACTGTATGATAACAGCAATCTGCAGTTATAGACGTGTTATTTGGCTCAAAATCAGTCAAAGATGAATTGAATTCTTTGATTCCTTTTGGTTTTTTAGTTCAAATATTCTTTCATCTAAACTACTTCACTCTGTCTTGTAAACCAGATTCTGAATGTTTATTTCATTCCAATAAGTAAAGTACAAACTTTCAAACCACCTAGTTACCATCTATCGTGATTACATAATAAGCTTGCTGTTCTCTGTCAATCAGGTTAATTTTCAGCTTTCAACTAATGGTAAAGTGAATTCGTTCAGTTAATAAATTCCAAATTTTCAAATCACCTTGTTATTCACTTTATTTGTAATTTGATCAACAACGTTTTATCAATAGACAGATATCAAAGCATCTTTCAGCAAGGTGTACTTGTAATCTTGAGGGAGCTAGTGCCCCCTGACAGATCCCGTGTCACCCAGTTTCACAGTCAGAGACGTTACCACTGGACTTTCCGTGCAATGGCCGACCTCCTGTAGGACTGAGATGTAATCACAATAGACTGATCGATAGTATTCGATCTGCACTAAGAAGGACTTGACACACATGACATTGATCACCACCCAGCGATCAATCAATTGTGATTAGCATCTTTCAATCTCAATCGGAATTGAGTCGTTTTCACTTATTAATATGACAAAGTTGTATTGTTTGTCATATTTGAGTACATTTATGAGCTGCTGAAAGCCGAAATATGTATGGTTGATACATTTAATCCACATCATTCATATTCATTAGACACAAATATGAGTCTCAATATTGTACAAAGTTTGTGTTCCTTTACAATTTCATATACATTTTGTTGTATATTATTGACAACTAGATCAAAACTTGAGTCTACGATTTCCTGCCGGCTATTTCAAATCACAAGGGGGTTTTGTGGAGATTTTAGTAATTTTATATGGTTAAGATCATGAGTCAGTGAAAGCCTCAGTGAAAGCTTCAACTGACTTATGATCTTAACTATATAAAATAACTAAAACATCCACAAAACCCCCTTGTGATAATAATCATATGCTCACTAGTGACTGGCTCCATGAGGTAATTTCACGAGTTCTAGTGAGAAGTTGTGGCCAGTGGAGCTAATCCATGTCAGGTAGAGACAGGTATCTACCTCAATACAATGGAAGTACGTCGCGCAATTTCGTGGATTGGTTGAGGTTAGACATTAACACCGTTGGATGCCGGCTTAGTGGTCTATCGGTTAAGGGCTCTGGTTCGAGATTGGTAGGTCCTGGGTTGGAATCTCGCGAGATCGGGATCGTGGATGCGCACTGTTGAGGAGTCCCATAATAGGACGAAACGGCCGTCCAGTGCTTCCAGGTTTTCGATGGTGGTCTAGCTTCGACTGACTCATGATCTTAACTATATAATATTTCAAATCACCTTACATCTCTACATAGTGTACATGATACCAGGTCATTTTTACATTAGTAATCATATTTTAACTTGATTGGTATAAGTAGATAAGCATTCAAAAAATTAGTTAAAAATTTTCTGGTCAATATTTATTGATCAGTCAATTTTGAATTGTTCTCAGAAGGGGGTTTCGTGGAAATTTCAGTAATTTTATGCATTTGAGATCATGAGTCAATTGAAGCTAGACCATCATGGAAAACCTGGAAGCACTGAACGGCCATTTCATTCTACTCTGAGTTCGAATCTCGTGAGGCGGGATCGTGTATGCACACTGCTAAAGAGTACCATAATAGGACGAAATGACCGTCCAATGCTTCTAGGTTTTCCATCGTGGTCTAGCTTCTATTGACTCATCCTTTCAACTATAAATTGATTTACTGATCAGTGATATCAGTATGTTAAGAAATTAAATTTGTAAAAAGGATTAACTTTAAATAGGGTCATAAATTCATTTATGGATATTGTGTCATAAATGAAGGGGATTTTACCTGAATCGTAATAAATGGTTGTTTTTTCTTCGATAAGTCTAGTTTTTCATTTAAGTAATCCAAACACAGGTATTGTTATGACTCGTATAACAATCGTTATTGTATATGAAACGTGCAATGATACAGAAAATACGTACGAGCAGTCTTGATTGCTATTCGGTCCTTCCTAACTGCCTAGCCCAGCCAGTTGAGTCCAGAACACAAATAACAGCCTCAACAATATGAATCATTATTTACAAGCATACTGGGTTATATATACTAACCAAACAGACCCAATTATACCAAAAAATAGAAAAATAACATTTGTACAGTAATTGGCCAATGTGGCTGTAGCTAGGGGGAAAGTAATCAATAATAATAGTTCCAAGGTCAAAATAAAGGTTATGATAAGAGGAACACGGAAACGATTAGGTCACTTATTTAACAACTATCCAATAGGGAATGGGCATATTGTATTTGTCCATAAATAGACATCAGATTTAGGTTACTCATTTAACAACTATCCAATAGGGAATGGGCATATTGTGTTTGTCCATAAATAGACATCAGATTTATGATTCATAATTCGCCAGGGGATACAACAGGTATAGGGTTTGAAAAATCCGATTGATTTCAGCCTAAAAATATTAAAATAATCTAAAAACATAATTTTTTCATAATAAAAAAATTTAAATCAATTCAGAACTTTAGTTTCTATTCATGAAAATTAACTTGACTAATTGGACTATTTCTAAATACTTGAGTCAAATAGGTATTTAGAAATTCGAAATCACTAGTCAATCTATACTAGACCACAATAACAAATTTAGGAGTACTGGATAGCCGTACCGTCTCACTATGAGACTCCTCAACAATACATATCCATGATCTCATAAATCGGTTTCAAACCCAGAAAATTCAGTCATTCGAACAAACATTTAACCTCTAAACCATGGAGCCATTTATCCAACGGTGTCATATGGTAATAAAACTATCACTCAGTAAAATTTGTTCCCAAAATATAGAAAAAAATATTGGATTTTTTATTTCCATTATAACCATGCATTTATCTTATAGAGTTGAGATCATTAGTCATTCGAGGCTAGACCACCATGGAAAACCTGGAAGCACTGGACGGCCGTTTCACCCTACTGTGGGACTCCTCAACAGTGTGTTCTGTGGTTACATGTGATAGGTTCCATGAGGTATTTCCTGGAGTTCTAGTGAGAAGCAGTAACCAGTGGAGTTCAACCTGTTCTGTTTTGAGATCGGAACTCACTGAAGACAATTGGTGAACTGTTGCTCAATTTCGTGGAACGTTTGAAGTTAGACATTAACACTGTTGGATTCTGGCTGGCCCAGTGATCTATCGGTTAAATGATGTGGCGCGAGACTGGTAAGTCCTCAGTTCGAATCTCGCGAGTGCGGGATCGTGGATGCGAACTGTTGAGGAGTCCCATAATAAGAAGAAACGGCCGTCCATTATTTTTAGGTTTTCCATGGTGGTCTACCTTTAATTGACTCATGATCTTAACTCTATAAAAGTACTAAAATCTTCACCAAACCCCTTCTGATAATGTTTTTATCTGTTCTAATTTAAATTGTTCACTATAAATACAATAAGTATTCATTCATGCTTCATTTTCTCAAATGAATGTTGTATCTATCGTGAACTGACGAATATGAACTCCTTCTGACACAGTGGTTTTTCTTGTTTAAATAATTCAATAATAACATAGTAACTGGCATTGAGTGTCACAAATAAAACAACTATGATTTTATAAAGTTTAGGTAAATCTAGGTGATCAGAGTCAGAACGGGACGAAATGCATTTTCTTTTTTTGAAGGTTTTAAAATGAATCACTATACATAATGTATAAACCACTTAACCGATTGACCACTGAGCCGGCATCGGATGGTCTTAATGTCTAACTTCAACCAATCCACGAAGTTAAGCAACCGTTCACCAATTGTCTTCAGTGAGTTGTTATCTCACAACAGACGTACTTTGAACTCCACTGGTCACTGCTTCTCACTAGAACTCCAGGAATTACCTGGAGTTAGACATAAACACCATCGGATGCCGGCTTAGTGGTCTATTGGTTAAATAATCTGCAACGAGACTGGTGGGTCTTGGTTTCGAATTTCAGGAGGCGAGGTCGTGGATGCGCACTGCTGAGGAGTCCCACAATAGGACGAAACGGCCATCCAGTGCTTCCAGGTTTTCCTTGGTGGTCTAGCTTCAATTGACTCATGCTTTCAACTATGAAAATATAAACCATTATTATCAATATACAGTGAAAAATGTATAAATGAGTTAATGTAGATCAGTAATTAAACTATACCAACAATCATGTTTAGGCTTGTTATTGTCCTTAATTAAATAAGCAAAATAGAAATGGTTGTTAATTTAAATAAAAACAGAATTAAACAAATCTCTTTCATACAGGGTCAATTATATGATGATGACTTGGTAGAAAGTATTCTGTAGAATAAAGTACAACTCGGAAAAAGTACATGTATCATATATATACCGTCAATCGTTCTTTTGAAAACATATCTTTAATGACTACCAGTATCATGTATATTCATATTAACTTGAAAGTGGTATTAGTTATGGAATAATCTCAGTAGAGGTACTGATGAAAATCAGATAACATCAGACCACCATCTCATCCTACTATACGACTTCCCATCAGTGAGTACCTAGCCACCGTCCAAAGGCGGTACCCATGACCTTTATATCTCTCAAAAGGTTCACAACCATTTGAATCCATGTAATGACACACATTTGCAGCTTCGGTCAACAAGCAATCAATCTCGTCAATCAAATAACACCACTAGTGATGGTGAATCCCATAGCGAAATGATATGGCTGTCCATTGACTCTGTTTTCAGTGATACCTCTATTGAGTCCGCTCTAAAATCAATATAAGTTACAGTTGGGTTAATCATCATGAAAAGAAGTCATTTATATTGAAACAAATTGTATGAATTTCTAGAATCCTAAAATTTTCATACCCACCTTATCAAAACTCATCGATAATTTGATCTTACATCAGTAATATTCACATAAATTACACACAATGATTCATAACTGTAAACACTTATTTTCCATTATTTTATTATCATTTCTCCAGATTATTTCAGTACATGTTTCTTTCGTTTACCATAGTTTTAGAATGTACAACTTGAATAATCCAAGTATCCTTTTAACGAGTGTTTCTCTGTGCCGTTTGTTTTATCTTACAAATTTTACATGCATAGTAGAGATTCTTTCGAACATAGACAAAAGAATACAATGATAATTCATAAGAGAAACAATCTATTTCACATCTGCTCATACTTCATTTCAATTCAAATGCTCATCAATAGGGGTTTTGTGGAGATTTCAGTATCTTCATAGTTGAAATCATTAGTCAATTGAATCTTGACCACCATCGAAAACCTGGAAGCACTGAACAGCCGTTTCATCCTATTGTGGGACTCCTCAGTAATGGGCATTCACGAATCCGCCTTGCAAGATTCGAACTCAGGATCTACCAGTCTCATACCATAGTACTTAACCAATAGACCACTGAGTCGTCCAGTGCTTTCAGGTTTTCCATGTGAGCTTTTTTAGTACGAGTCCTGATTATCCTTTGATCTGGCCATTGTGAATTTATTATTTCGATTTGTTAATCAATTCAGTTATACTGTAAATCTCATCAATCATCATCGTTTCTTTGGTGGTGAAGTCTTGAAAAGAATTCAAGAAACTCGTTAAACTTTTCATAAGCTTCAATATTTGTGAAGTAGGCACGATTTTAAAGATCTAGTATACTGAACAGAATTTCATGCTTTTCAGTCACAAAATTTATGAAACCTAATTTTCAAAATTGTAGTTTGTCGACAGCTTACTACTGTTTGGTTATGGTTATCTTTGAAATATGGAATGCTCAGAATAAGACAGTAAATTAAGAAAGTGTAGATAACCTTGTTGAAACAGGAACAATAATTATGAACAACTGTTGGAGACATAAGATGACAAGTTTTGCCATTATTCAGTACATTTAACTTTTGTTACTTTAGTTTTTATTATACTCTTCAAGCGTTTCATCAATGTTCTGATACAAACACACTGCTATGCTGATGATCAAAGTAGCAAGAGTAGTTGCATAAACCTTTTTTGGATGCAAAGGTTTGGTTTGTGAACATGGATTCTAATGGCTTCATGAATGTACAAGAGACGAACTCGTTAAGTATGTGGCGAATTTGATAGAATATGGTGGATAACGTAAAAAAAATTTATTTAATTCAAATAATGACTCGAGTTCATCAAGTGAGCGAGAATAGGTTCTGGGTTCTAATTTCTGGATACTGGGTGCGCACTGCTGAGGAGTCCTAAAATAGGACGAAACAGTCGTCCAGTGCTTCCAAGTTTTCGATGGCAGTCTAGCTTCACTTAACACATGATCTTAACATAAAACATTATATAATTACTACGTAAGGTAACTACTTCATAAGTAACATTTCATTGTGACAAACCATATCGATATAGAATTATATATATTAGTGAAGGGCCTTGAGGATTAACTAAGTGTAAAGAAGTTTAATCGCTTGATTTATTTCTTTTAATTTTTATCAAGATGTGAAAATAAGGAATTTTCATTATATCTGATATTGACTTACTGTTAAGAGCAACCGTTCATCAACTGTCTTCACTGATTTGATGTCACACAACAGACGCAGTTGAACTCCATTGGTCACTGCTTGCCGGCTCATTTTTGTATCAGTCAAGCGCTCTGGCGCGAGACTGTTAGATTTTGGGTTCGAATCTCGTGAGGCGAGATTGTGTATGCGCACTGCTGATGAGTTTCGCAATAAAACGAAGCGGCCGTCCAGTGCTTTAAGGTTTTCCTCAACTCATAATTTCAACTATGAAAATACTGAAATCTCCACAAAACTCCTTCTGATCACTGTTAATATTAAATTTTCATCTGTTTCATGTTTCTTTTTCTATTTCAGTAGTATAATCTTAGATGAAATGAATCATAATCAATTGATAAGATGGATACATTTTCATGTTGAATTCCCAACCAACTCCAATTAGACAGTCGTTATTATCATAAAACTCTGATTATAATCATGATTAAAAAAATGAACGAATTCCTCCTTGTTGAATAGAATGTCTAACTACTTAACAATACCTAAACTATGATGATCATGATTATAGACAATCATTGAAATGTTAACAAACAATATATTATCTATTCAATCAATGAATGAAGATCCTTGTCGAAACAGTAAAATATTCATGTCACATGAAGAAGCTCTAGTCAAATTAACCGAAAGAACATCATATCCAATATTACAAGAAAATGGTCAACGTTGTTATGGTCCACCACCAAATTGGTATGGATCTAAACCTCCAAAAGGTTGTGAAATATTTATTGGTAAAATACCACGTGATTGTTTTGAAGATGAATTAATTCCCATATTTGAATTAGCTGGTAAAATTTATATGTTTCGATTAATGATGGATTTTAATGGATTAAATCGTGGTTACGGTTTTTGTTTATATACTAATCGTAATGATACTAAACAAGCTGTTAATCAATTGAATGGTTATGAAATACGTAAAGGTAAATTGTTAGGTGTCTGTTACAGTATTGATAATTGTCGTTTATTCATTGGTGGTATCCCGAAATCTAAAACAAAAGATGAAATCATGTTAGAAATGTCAAATGTGACTGATGGTGTAAAAGATGTAATTGTTTATCCAAGTCTAGTTGATAAAACAAAAAATAGAGGATTTGCATTTGTTGAATATGAAAATCATAAAACAGCTGCTATGGCTAGACGTAAATTAATTCCTGGACGAATTCATTTATGGGGACATCAAATTGCTGTAGATTGGGCAGAACCAGAACGTCAAGTTGATGAAAATATTATGTCAAAGGTGAGTTTCCCGCCTTATAGTAACTTAAATGTAATTAGCTTATTGATCATAATTGATTGATCACTGGGTGATGATTAATGTCATGCATGTCAAGTCCTTCTTAGTTTCAATCGAATGCTATCGATCAAGTTGCAATGTGGCCACCAGTCTAGGTGGCTCGACTCTGCGTGCACTATGTTGAGATAAGATGGTGGTTGGAAGTGGTCAATAGAAAACCCTGGACACGAGTTTCCTGCTACTTGGCGCTCGTCAGCAAGGTGTACATGTAATCTTGATGGAACTGGTGCTCCCTGACGGATTCGATCCCGTGTGACTCAGCTTCACAGTCGGAGACAGTACCACTGAGTAGCTCACAGCACTAAGAAGGACTTGACACGCATGACATTGATCACCATCAAGTGATCAATAAATTGTGATTACATCTCAGTCCTACAGCAGGTTGGTCAGTGGTGATGTCTCTGACTGTGAAGCCGAGCCACACGGGATCGAATCCGTCAGGGAGCACCACATCCCTCAAGATTACAGGTACATCTTGCTGACGAGTGCCAACTAAATATTTACTACACACTTTTTATACCACAGCATCCTTTAGGTAGATATCACGTTCTCACACTACATGTTCCATAAATAAATCAAGCGGTAAAAGTAGTATAAAATTATTCTGACGATAAGAAATAATGTTGCGAAAGAATGTCTTGAATTTAAAAGAACTTACAAAATAACATACATAATGATATGATTTACTTTCCAGCAAAGTCGTCTCTCGTCGGCAACGCAAATCCAACTCATTACAAATTAAGCTGATATAGGTACACCAAATAATGTGAAACGTTTTCTTTGAATACATTAGTCTCTACAGCAGAAAGTACAACAGAAACATTTTATAATATCAAACAGAAACAGGTTTTTAAAACTTATTGAGAGTTACTTACTTACTTACGCCTGTTACCCCTGATGGAGAAGCATAGGCTGCTCACTAGAATTCTCCATTCAAACCTGTCCTCGCTAATCCTTTCCAGTTCTTTCAAGTTAACATTCATCCTTTTCATATCTGCTCCTATTTCCCCGCGTAATGTGTTCTTTGGCCTTCATCCTTTACGCTTCCCTTCCTGATTCCAAGTTAGCACTTGCCTCGTGATGCAGTTTGATTATTTTCGTAATGTGTGTCCTATCCACTTACAATTTCTTTTCTTAATTTCTTCTTCAAACGGAAGCTGGTTTGTCCTCTCACACAGAAGGATGTTGCTGATGGTATCCAGCCAATGAATGTTGAGTATTTTGCGCAGATTTTATATTTAATTTATACACATAAATATTGGTACAAAGGAGCACCAGATACACATACGCCGCACAAATCTCACTCGACTTGTGTGAGGGCTGTGATACTGCTCAGGTGCCCAAACTGAAGCAAGTGGTTTTCTTAAGGGGCCACACTCGGAGCCTTTGAATTAAAGGTCTGATCCACAAGACAGTGGAGCATCGTGAGATGCAGTCCCATTGTAGCCGGTGATCAACAACAGGTTTATACGCCATTCGTTCCATCAGGATACTGGAGTCCATGTGCACGATTGGTTTGAAATGAGGGTTTTCCAACTCCCCTAGGTGGACTTTCCACATCCACCAACCCGGTTAAAGCACCAGACATTCGCTTTTCGTCCTCTCACTTTCGTAAACAACATACTTGGTGTGAGAAGTCAGTGAGTAGGACTTCTCTGGCGGAGGCTGTATACGCTCAACCATGTGAGAGCATTTGGAGAGGGACAGCGGACTCTCCTCACTCTCGGACGTACTAGGGCATTTAGTAGTTCTCCATGTTTCAGCTACGTACAATAGGACTGTCTTGTCATTCGTATTGAAAATTCTCACTTTGAAATTAGATGACAGTTGATTTGAGTTCCATATGTTATTCAATTGTAGAAATGCTGCCCTTGCTTTGCCAATCCTCAGTATTACGTCGGCATCAGATCCTCCTTGTTTATCAATGGTGCTTCCCAGGTATGTGAATGTTTCCACCTCCTCCAGAGTTTCTCCATCAAGTGTGACTGGATTGGTGTTCTCCATGTTGTATTTGACGATCCTGCTTTGGTTTACGTGTATGTTGAGGCCTATTGATTCAGAAGCTACTGCCACATTAGTTGTCTTCGTCTGCATTTGTTCGTGTGTATGCGATAGGAGTGTTAGGTCATCTGCGAAGTCCAAATCGTCTGATTGATCCTGAGATATCCATTGTATTTCGTGCTTCTCCTCAAATGTCGAAGTTTTCACAATCCAGTTAATCACCCGAAGAAAGATGAAGTGGGAGAGTAGACAGCCTTGTCTGACACCGGTCTTTACTGGGAATGCATCTGTCAGCTGTCCTCTATGCACCACTTTGCACTGTAGTTCATCGTATGAGTTCTGGACAATGTTGACAATCTTTTCAGGAACTCCATAGTGTCGAAGAAGTTTCTATAATGTTCTCTGGTCCACACTGTCAAACGCTTTTTAATAGTCAATGAAGTTGGTGTATAGTGTCGAGTTTTACTCAACTGACTATTCCACGATGATCCGTAGTGTCGCGATTCAGTCTGTGCACAACCGATCTTTACGGAATCCAGTTTGTTGATCTCGAAGTTGAGCGTCTACTGCGTCTTTTATCCGGTTCAGTAACACTCTGTTAAAGACGTTCCTTGGTACTTACGACAGCGTAATGTTTCTGTATTCCTCATACTTGCTGAAATTCCTTTTCTTTGGTATCCTGATAAGGTGTTCCTATTTCCAGTCCGTCGACACTTGTTCTTCCTACCAAATCTACTTGAATAGAAGGTGAAGCGTGTTTGCAGTTACTTCAATGTCTGACTTCAGTGCTTCAGCTGGTATATTGTTAGGTCCTGCCGCCTTCCCACTTTTGATTTGTTTGGTGGCCATCTTGAATTCTTCGATAGTTGGTTGAGTGACATCTATAGAAAGATGCCCGGTTAAATCAATGGGGCTGGTCTATTCAGCAGTTCCTCGAAATATTCTACCCATCTTTGACGTTTAGACCTCCCATCAAGATGGTGGGCACTTCCCTACGATCGATTGAAACCTCGAGTAGAACTGAACTTTTAATGTCGTCGTTGCTATCATTGGTGGGCACATAACATATAAGAACATTCATTGTGATCCCCTCCCTCTTTATTTTGAATGATGCTTACATGATTTTGTATCCATGAGATTCTCATCCTATAAGAGCATTTCGTGCTTCTCTGGACAGCATTAAAGCAATTTCTTGAGTGTGTAGAGCATTTTCCTCTTCACAACCGAAGTAAAGTAGCATTTCCCCCGTATCTAACCTTTGCTGTCCAGCTTGGGTTCAATGGTTTTCGCTTATTTCAAGTACTGCCAGTTTGTTACTCTTCATTTATTATGCTATTCGACTGGTCTTCACAGTTTCTAACATTGTCCGAACGTTCCATTTACTTATAAAGATTGTTGCTCTGGGCGTCTGTCTCATGACTTCCGGAGAATCTGGGCTTTCATCATGAGGCGTCATAATTCTTCTTTTAACTCCAAGGGTACAGTTTAAGTGGTTTAATTTGATTATTCTAGTTGGAGTATTTTTAGCAAAATTTTTTTCTACGGGATGTGGTTGCCTACCTCATACCGAACCCTCCTCCTTTACCCGGGCTTGAGACAGACAATAACTTTAGAAGAGCTACAGGTAGAGTTTTGTTGAAGCACTACTTTCACAAACTTTCAACTGTATATATGTAAATGCAATTCTGTATAATTAATAACTGCATTTGGTATATATTAAGAATTCTCATAATAAAACCTAATTACATTTTATGATTGAACTCATACTACTTATAACATTGATTAAAGTAATACATAAAATAATTTCACTTTTTATAGGTTCGTATATTGTACGTAAGAAATTTAATGTTACATACAACAGAAAATGCAGTAAAAGATCATTTCAATCAAGCAATTCATTCAATGAATGCTGTTGAACGTGTTAAAAAAATTCGTGATTATGCCTTCGTTCACTTTCATAATCGTATAGATGCTATCACAGCATTAAAACAATTAGATGGTAAGTTATAATATAATGAAGGAGATTTATATGTCACAGAAATGAATTTCATTGTTTGAGTTGAATGAATGAATTGTAAAATTTGAAGGGCCCTTTCAGACAACATCATCTGAACAAACATCAGATAGAATACAGCTATGAATTTTACTACACATGACTAATAGCTTGTTCTGTCGTCCATTGTTTTGATTATTTATGGTTGACTGTTGTTCCGTAATTATCTTCTCACTGACCATTTATCCTCCTCTTTGAGTTGATCTTAAGGGAAATTCAAATGACACATTGCTATTTATAGTTTGTGTTGATAATGTTTTGTAGAATGCTAATAAGATCATTACAAATAAACTACACATTTTAGAGAACAAACGTACTGTGAATAACATTCATTAAAAAATTTTAAACTAACAAACAGAGAAGATGGATAGTAGCTGGCAGTGGAATCCAGGACGCGCGTTTCGTCCTATTTGGGACTCGTCAGCTGGATGTACCTGCATCTCAGAGTTGATGTTCACTCTGGGATCCGAACCCAGTACCTTTCACTTCAAACGCCATCACGTTATCCACTCTTCCATTGAGTCCTGATAGCCACTTGCTTGTGCGATGGGGTGAAGTTTAAATTCACCTGGTATTGTTTGTTTGAATTTTCTCAGCGATTTTATTAGGACTGCAACTGGTCAGTCTCTAATTGGCATATGTGCATACTGTGTATATTGCCTCGATATACCTTAATTCCAAATAGGACGAAATGCTCATCAAACTGGATTCTACTGCTAGCCACTATCCATCTTTGCTTACCATGCTTGTGAATTAAGGTATATCGAGGCAATACACACAGTATGCACATATGCCAATTAGAGACTGACCAGTTGCAGTCCTAACAAAATCGATAAGAAGATTCAAACAAACAATACCAAGTGAATTTAACAAACAGAGAAGTTGAAGCTTCATGAGACTACATGACTTTATTTAGACGATTATAAAAAGTTAGTAGATACTAAACAACATCATTGACTTGTTATTCTTCTTCAACACGATTAGATCTTTACAACATATAAGTGATAGGTAACAATACATGAGGCTTCACCTCATTTTCAAACGATTTTAACATTATTTCATTTGGTTGACATAAAGTTCAGTCAACTGCATGATGATCACCAATTGTCACATGTTCCAGAACTCTACCCCTAGTAGAGCAGTTGATGATCACCACTGAAGAATCATGTACTTTCATCCAACATCTAACAATTTCTCCCTTTTTCATCATAATGGTTATCGAAATAAAATAAGCCTGTGATATCAGGTTCCAGCAATTTACACAATGAAAATACAATAATATAATGCTCATTATAGTAGGATAGACTAGTCATTTTTTTAAAATAATCAGCGAAAGAATGTCGTATCTCATTTCACTCATGTGATTAAAGTTCCGAATTCCGTTATATAGGATTATATAAATAGATAATGAAGAATATTTATATCTACCTGATATGATGATCATTAAGTTGAACCAGTTAAGTAGATTGATTGATTTTCAAGTCTCTCACTTTTATTTTGAACAAGATCATAAGCCCATATTTACAAAAAATTAATGAAGTTTCCATTTACTGCGATCATTAGTGCATTTTATTCTAATTCAGTTGGATTTATGTATCAAATTGAGTTAATATGCGAGTTGATGAGACTATACAATGTACAAAGATTGAACCTTTGTGTTTATACATTTATACTACTGAAATAAATAAGTAGTTAAAACAGTGATCGATTGGATCAATGAAGACGTCAACATCTGGAGGAATGCACGGGATACAGTGGACAGGCAGGATGCAGCTTGACGATTTAGACTTCGCGGATGATCTGACTCTTCTATCACAAACGCAACAACAAATGCAGGAGAAAACGACCAGTGTAGCAGCAGCCTCAGCAGCAGTAGGTCTCAATATAAACAAAGAGAAAAGCAAGACTCTCCGATACAATACAATATGCACCAATCAAAATACACTTGACTGAGAAGCTTTGGAAGATGTGGAAACCTTCACATATCTGGGCAGCATCATTGATGAACACGGTGGATCTGATGCAGATGTGAGGGCGCGGATCGGCAGAGCAAGAGCAGCATACCTGCGACTGAAAAACATCTGGAGCTCAAAATAATTTTCAACCAACACCAAGATCAGAATTTTCAATGCAAATGTCAAGACAGTTCTACTGTATGTGGCGGAGACGTGGAGAACTACGAAAGCTATCATCCAGAAGATACAGGTGTTTATTAACAGCTGTCTAAGCAAGATACTTCGGATCCGATGGCCAGACACTATCAGCAACAAGTTACTGTGGGAGAAAACAAACTAGATTCCAGCGGAGGAAGAAATCAGGAAGAAACGCTGGAAGTGGATTGGGCACACTTTGAGGAAGTCACCCAATTGCGTCACAAGACAAGCCCTCACATGGAATCCTGATGGTTAAAGAAGAAGAGGAAGACCAAAGAACACATTACGCCGAGAAGTAGAGACAGACATGAGAAGAATGAACAAGAACTGGATAGGACTAGAAAAGAAGTCCCAGTACAGAGTGGGTTGGAGGAAGCTGATCGGTGGCCTATGCTCCATTGGGAGTAACAGGCGTAAGTAAGTAAGTAAGTAAGTAAGTAAGTAAGTAATAATAATGTCTGAATAATGGTGAATACCAGTAAAACTGAAGATCATTAACACAGAGTTTCCTGTCTTTCAAAAACAACTGCCAATCGTTAAAAATTTTATACATTTTAAGAATTATCTACAAGCATTCAAAGCAAAATACAATTTAGAATCCATCAAAAGAGTAACTACAGAACATACATGAACTGATGTAAAGATATTCTCAACAAATGACATTGTTCATGATTTTGTTAACAGTTGAATTCTCCAAATAATGACTCTCATTTCCATCATAATCAATAAAAATTAATTCATCTTTGAACACTAGATTAATCTACTTTCAGGAAAAAGTGGTACTACTTACGACTGAAGCAAGTAGTGTGAGAATTTAAACAAAAAAAACATATTGGAAGAAAGCATAATGTATTCACCATGAGACTGTCAAGTATATGAAGGCTAAAATTCTGTTTTTTCTAATCATTTATTCTATAATTATACCTCTTCTTAATAACGTATACCCGATGAATTTATTGTCAGTCTACTGCATTTAACTAGCACTGTATATCATACTGTAGTGTATGAAAAACACGAGTGGATCAATCGATTGTATTTGACAAGGAAATTACAGAATATCTCAGTAGAATCTGACAATCATTCAGTGAACAGTTATTTGTAAACTGTGAATCCTATGTCTCAATCTTAACCATTCTTTCTGCAAATATCCGTCCACCATCCAGCTCAGAGAACGAACCCACATCAAAATCCGTCCATAGTCTCCGAACATTATTGTTCATGCATTTTTATACCAATTGCTTTTCGTTTCAGTTCCTTCCTTATCGACTTTCTACTGAAATGCATTGAATGCCCGACCATCATCATATACAACTTGTGTGGTTATAAGTAATCCACACCACATTAGCATAATTCTTACTACTATCAGTCTACATTTATGATATGGTATAACACAGTCTGGTCTTCAACAACGAAAGCTAATTTGTTAAACTTTTTTTCATTATTCTATTACTAAATTTTGAATAACCGTTAGACAGGTACTTGAAGCAATCATATAATGAAATGATATATCTGCACTTGAACTTAGTGGATTCAGGTGCCAATGTCACTGTCAACACTGAGATGCGAGTACATCCAGTTGATGCATTCTATACTGAATAAAAAGCACATATTGATAATTCTACCATTATAAGCAAAGATGGATGGTGGCTAGCAGTGGAATCTAGTTTGACACGTGTTTCGTCGTGTTTGGGACTCGTCAGCTGGATGTACCTGCATCTCAGAGTTGATGTTTACTCTAGGACACGAACCCAATATCTTTCGCTTCAAACGCCATAGCATTATCCACTCAGCTACTGAGTCCCGACAGCCAGTTGTTTGTGCAATGGGGTGAAGTTTGAATTCACTTAGTATTGTTTGTTTGAATCTACCTATTGATCTTTAGGATTGCAAATGGTCAGTCTCTTATTGGCTTATGTGCATACTACGCGTATTGCCTTGATATTGCCTTAATTTACAAGTATTATAAGTAAAGATGGATAGTGACTAGCAATGGAATCCAGTTTGACGCGCGTTTCGTCCTATTTGGGACTCGTCCATTATTCATAATTCAAAAATACTCAAATCTAAGCTAAATAATTTCCGTGATAAAGGCTTCTCCTGTAAACTCGTTTCTTTTTGTGGCTTATATTTAAGAATAATTTGTTTGTATATATGATTTATATGACTGATTTCTTATTATTATTTGTTTATATAAAACTGTATTGGGGTCATTGATTCAAAAATACTATATTTTTGATAGAAATATATAGTTACTAGGTAGTTACTAGGTAAGATATTTTCTATTCTAATGACATTTCATTCAAATATCTAGTTTATTCTAAATACTTTGAGCATCCTAGAAATAATCAATGAACTAGTTTCTTACAATTGTTATGATAATGTTTAAAAAAAAAAGCTATTAATAAATTGGATAGAACGAGAAAGGAAGGCACACGACAGTGTGGTTTGGAGAATGCCGGTCGGCGCCCTATGCTCCATTGAGAGTAACAGACGTAAGTAAGTAAGTAAGTAAGTAAGTAAGTAAGTAAGTAAGTAAGTAAGTAAGTAAGTAAGTAAGTAAGTAACTGATGAACTAAAGAATAATGATCACTATCACAGTTTTAGGTGAGTTGAGAAAGCCATCGAAAGTTACTTGATACATTTGAGCCATGTGACTTTAATTTGTGATGCTATAATACTCACTTTAGATAATACTTCCAATTCGTAGGAACCATTGTTTGTTATCTAATAATAATTATCATGATGTAAATAACTGAGAACTGATGAGCAACGTAGGATTCTGAACACACATTATCCAATATCTTAGTCGGAGGCTTTACTATCCAAGCACTCAGGTTGTGACCGACTCCCTTTAAGAACAAATTATTCACACCGATTGATGGCTGAGAAGTAAAGAATGTCATGTTAGCCTAGTTTTTAGTTTTGATTTGATTTCTATTGATCGAGTTGCAGTGAAGATTCACTTTTCGTGGACTTTGTAATGATGACTACGCTGCAAAATTGCCAATAGAATTAAATCAGCATTAGCAATTATGAAAATATGACATTTATTAACACTTATTGATATATATATATATATCCTTTCACGTTGCAATCATATCACTTAAGTGTGGAGTCACGACCTCCTAAGGAGTCCCGATCGCTAAAAAAATATCAGTCAAGTTTTTCTTACAACTGAATATCTATAACTACATAACATTGAAACGAAAATCTGATTCTTGAATGGGTGATCTACAGCAGATGAATTATGATAATATTGTGGTTGAATAGTTTGAAATTAATTTTAGTCATATCCATTTTATGAGAAAGAGGCTTTAACGGATTTAATAGTTGAGTTCATGAATCAACTTAAGCTAGACTACTGAGGAGTCCTATACTGGAACAAAACGACCGTCCAATGCTTTCATATTTTCCATGGTGGTCTAATTTCAACTGACTCATGAACTCAACTATTAAATTATATGAATTTATTTATTCTTCAGGTGATAAATGAGTGCTACATTTATAAGGTCTTTTATTACATATTTCCATACTTAAACTGTAGTGAACAGAACACAGGTGGGGATAATCGACTACAGTAAACAGTTAATTTGCAAAATAACAATCAATTGTCTCAATCTTAACTGTTCCTTCTGCAAATATCAGTCCGTCTTCTCTGATTTCATTGTTCGTACATTTACCTACCAATTGTGCTTCATTTCAGTTCTTTCTTTATTGGTTTTCTGCTAAAATACTTTCTATATCTCACTATCACCATATACTACTTAAATGGATATAAATAGACTATACCAATATACTACTAATATTATCTTTATTAATAAACATATTCACTAGTTTGAGTTATTTTATTGATAGGCACGATATTTGATGGAGCGCAAATTGAAGTGACTTGGGCAAAACCTGTTGATAAATATGATCATTTAAGAACAAATCAGAATTCTCAATCCGTTTTAACAATCAATCCAAACTATACTAATTATTTCAATGGTTCATGTTTACCTTTAACTACTCAACAACAAGCCATATCATCATCATCATCATCATCATCATCTTTGTCGTTAGTCGGTTCATTGAATACATTCACCATATCGTCAACTTCATCAGGAATAATCTATTCTAATTCAATATCAAATAGTACACCTTTACAGCAATTACATCATCTTAATTCTTATCCTTTCTCTTCAATAATGAATCAATCAATTATATCATCAAATTCCTATTATTCACATAATACTACAAGTATTTTCACACAAACAACTATGTATGGATATCAAAGCCAATTGAATGCAATGCTTAAGCATACTATTGGTCATAATTCATTATCATTCAAATATACCACTACTTCATCGTCATCATCATCGTCATCATCATCATCATCAAGTATATCATCTTCATCTATTATGTCAATTGGCAACCCAATGAATACACTATCAATAATGAAACATTCAAACAATAATAATACTGATAATTATAAAAATATTTTAATCAATAAATCAATCAATCAATCATCATCATCATCAATATTGAATCGAATACGTTTAAATGAATTATGTCAATCCATTTCAACAATGAATATTGAAAAGAATAACATTCAAAATTTAAGATATAAACAATCAATACAGCAATTGTTTCATTCATCCATATTGAATTCACAAAAAGAAAATAGGTAATTCACAATAGTTTTCAATATTTAATTTGCAAGTCAATCTTAAATTATACCATTATTGAAAATTTGAAAGTATTGGATGGCCAGTGAAATCAGTAAAGTCTAATCTGTGTAAAGTCGAGAAAGTTATTTACCTTAGACAATCGACTAAAGGTTGTACATGATCATTAGTCGATTGAAGTTAGACATTAGCATGTTAAACGTTCACAAACAAAACCAAAGGTCCTGGATTGAAGTGCCGTGTGCAGGATTGCTAATGAGCACTTTTAAAAAGTCCCATGATAAAACGTAACGGCTGTCTAGTGCTTCCAGATTTTCAATATTGGTCTAGCTGTGATTGACTTATGAATTCAATTGATAAAATTATTAATATCTTCACAAATCCTCATTCCTTTAGAAATTCTTAAAGATTTTCTACTAGTATATACAATCGTAGTTCAGTTCACATTCAAAGGTGAATATTTTCTCTAGATTGACGTTGTTGCTATGACCAGTTCGTTAAGATTATTATTAGGTGACGTGTTTATGGCAGATGTTGAAAATCTAGCTGAAGACCTATTCGAAAATATGTCCTTTTATCAGAGAAATGTAGATGACATTTTAGTTATCACTGAAAGAAAAGAGGGTATTCATTTTCTATCCTATAAACTAAACACACATCAAAATCACATCAGTTTTCATGTGAAGAGAAGGAGAACAGCCAACGTCTTTTCTCAGATAAATATATAATTGTAAGAGAAGATAGCTCAGTCAAACGATTCAATGTTAGAAAGTTAACCGGGACAAGTGGGTACCTTAATCATCATAGTTACTGCTCAGTTCAATACATTAGTGTTTTGTTAAAGAGTCTATTTTTAACCAGATTGGTCGTATTTGTACAAATGATGCCATTAGTGACGAAGTCATGGATAGCCCTTAAAAGCCAAACATCTTTGGCATAAAAGAAGTCAGTCAAAATCAATCTACATTTCAGAGGTAAGTTAAATAGCCTCGTATTGAAACAAAAACGTAAATCGGTTGTTAACAAAACGTAATATTTAAAAAAAGTTATTATGAAGGAGAAAACAAGGTCTTTGCTTCACCAAAAACCTAGAAGACGATTGCGTCACATACCACTGTGTTTACTAGTTTCAACTTGTGTATGTGTGTGTGGCCACACATACAAAAGGGATAAGAAATCAATGATCTGAAAATTAGGTTGTATGAAAGTGTACGTAAATGATCTCTAAAACAAAAAAAAAAATCAAAATGGCCAATTCACATGTCACTACAAGAAGCCATCGTCTTTTCAATATGTTAATTTCTGTTACAAAGTTTGTATATTTGATAGCAATGAATCATGATCGCATTACAGTGTTAGGAATCCGAATTATTGAACTCCTATTTAATAGAGTAATAGGATTCTCGTTTCTGTGGGACACGACAATGCCATGTTGGATCCTTGATGGAGCTTAAGATGTAAACTGTTGTGTACTGACAATAAGATGGAATAGCTATATAATATCCCTTGATTTCAATTGTTTTCCTAGGTATCACTTACTCATAATAAGTAATATCTTGTGAACGACACACGATACTCTCTCATTGTTTCTTATTTACACCTACCTACTTTTAGTTCCTTTGAGACAAGTACTTTATTACAACCTTTATTACAATCAAATGAAAAGAACTTAAATGAGAGATCATTCGTTTTAAATTCGGGAAGTGATAAGCGATTGAATATTGATCATTCCAGTATAGACGATCAACAGATAACAAATGCTAACAAAGTAAGTTATATACTTTAAATATAAAGATTTTTAAAAATATTTTTCAAAGTTGAAATCATGAGTCAATTGAAGCTAGACCACAATGGAAAACCTGGAAGCACTGGATGGCTGTTTCACCCTGCTGCGGGACTCCTCAGCAGTGAGCATCTACGATCCAGCCTCGCGATATTCGAACCCAGGACCTACCAGTCTTGCGCCATGGTGGTCTAGCTTCAATCGACTCATGATTTGAAGTTTGAAAAATACTGAAATCTTTACAAAACCTCTTCTGATTTTTAAAGATGCAAAGTTCTGTTCAGATTTACTGTAAAATACACACCAAGTTCACACAGACTAATGCAAAGAATATAATCATCATACTGAACGAAAGTTAAAATTAACCAAACTGAATGACATTTAGTCTTTGTTACTTATTTCCTAATGCCTGTTATTCCTCATGCAAGAGCATAGGCCATTCACAAGCATTTTTCATACAATTTTATTCAGGGCAATCTTTTCCAGTTCATTCCAACTGTTATTCATTTTTTTGATTCCTGCTTCCAATTCTTGACTCAGTGTGTTCTTTGACCTTCCTCTTTTGCGTATCCGTTCAGTTACAAATATAATGACCAGAAATAATATTAAATCAGAAAATATAAGACCGATATCATACTGATTATGAGAAAATATTTGACGATTTGGATGGAAGAAATTAATGGAAACTTTTTCAACACTATTCTGTATCTGAGAAAATCGTCAACATTATATGCCATTCATACGACGGATTACAATTCAACGTCATTCATGGAGGACAGCTGATAAACGAATTCCAAATGAGGACCGGTGTCAGACAAGGCTTACTCTTACACTTTTTATTTTGTCTGGTGGTTGACTGAATGACAAAGATCTCGACATCTCACGGGAAGCACAAGAAACAATAGATAGACTGAATGCAAATAGACGATTTGGATTTCGCAGATGACCTGGCTCTTCTATCCCATACACACCAACAAATGCAGATCAAGACAAAAAGTATAGCAGCAGCATCTCCAACAATAGACCTCAACATGCACAAGGAGAAAACCAAGATCCTTAATTACAACATAGAGAACCTGTGAGACAAGTGGAAACATTCACGTACCTGGCCCACATCATCATCGATCAAGAAGGAGGATCCAATGCAGACGTAAAGGTTAGGATTGACAAAGTAAGAAACACGTTCATATTATTGGAGAACAACATATATAACTCAAAACAACGGTCAAACAATATCAAAGTCACAATCTTCAATACGAACATCAAGACAGTTCTACTATATGAAGCTGAAACACGTGAAGAACTACTACAACCATCATCAATAATGTACAACTATTTATAAACAATTGTCTGCGTAGGATATTGAATGTCCGTTGATCGGATAACATCAGTAACAGTCTACTGTGTAAGATAACGATCCAGGTTGCAACTGAGCAGGAAATTATGAAAAGACGTTATAAGTGGATAATGACAGATACTTAAGAAATCATCAAACTGCATCATGAGGCAATCGCTAACATTGGATGCTGAAGGGAAATGGAAGAACAAATAAGACATTTTGTTGAGAATCGGAATCAGACATAAAAAATGATAAATTGCATCTGGAAAGAACTTGAAAGGTCTGCCTAAGACATAGTTGTATGAAGAATGCTGGTGAAGGGCCTATGCTCCTCCATGAGGGGTAACAGAAGTAAATGAGTAAGTATTCAAAAAAGAATTTCAATCTACTCGTTTGTTGAGATTGATGATGAAGAAAAGAGTATTCGAGCAAAACAATATTGAAATGACAATTATTAAATGAATTTATCATTTAAACATCTTTAAATTCATACCATTAATGTATGATAACACAGCTAAGTACTATCACTATATTATCCATTTAGAAAATTCATTTACATAGTTATATCCGAAGAAATAAATTTACAGAATGTTATATGAATACAGTGATCTTGAGTGTTGTTAGAGCTGTCTGGCGAAATCTATGCACAGATTCAAAAAGCGCGTTTGGCTTTTGCCAAATTACATCACCTATGGCGAAGACGAGATACCCGTCTATCAATTAAGTGACGAGTATACTGCGCAGCTGTTCGCTCTGTTCTAATTTAAGGCTGTGAAACGTGGCCATCAACAATAAAAGATACTCGTAAGTTATTGGTATTTGACCACAGTTGTCTTAGAAATAATGCTCGCATCTGCTGGGATCAGATTACCACGGCGCGCTATGCCGACTAGTATTGGTGATGGTTGGAAGAGAGTTAAAAACGGCCGAACCAAAACGTGGCATCAGTGATTGAAGTCACTAACTTCTAGTCTGAGCAATGTTAGAAGATGCAGGCTACTTGGTTGAGGTCCATGTGACTATCGGATTACGTCCAACTCCCAGACCTTAGCTAAAATATTAGTCAACCTAATCGCTAAAATTGAACGACCATATTTAAAGACCTCTGGAGCCAATCCATCTGAGCCAGCTGCTCTTCCTTGTTTTAGATTAGCTATATCCATTTGAACTTCAGCTAGAGTTGTGGGACCTACTTCAATGTTCCATCCAAAATGTCTGGGAATGGTGGGTAACTGTAGGATAACCGAAGGCCAGTTTAAATGATCAATAAAAAAGTGCGCACACATATACGCTCATATAAAAGCAGTCAAGGTTGATAAGCGAATAATTAACAAGGTCAAAATGTAGCTTGAGAAGGATGGATAAATCGGCCTGTCCGAAATCTAGAATAAGGTATATGGGCTTAACATAACAACCAACACTATAGTAGTTTTGTTTAGATTTTTTTTTCATAAATCGCTACTCTGTACTCTATGATTCTTTCTGTTAAATTGAATCAATATATTCTGAAGTTATTCTACAGAAATATTTCCCCTTAATATTTTCATTGTTGGAGGTTAAGTAGTTTAGATATCTCTTGGACATATTGCCATGAATTGTTTTCAACAGTTGATATCATGAGTCAATTGAAGCTAGACCAGTATTGAAAACCTGGAAGCACTGGAACGTTTCATTCTATTGTGTGGCTCTTCATCAGTACGCATCCATGATCCCGTCTCGCAAGATTCGACCCCAGGAGCTATCAGTCTCACGTACAAGCGCTTAACCTCTGGACCACTGAACTTGCCGGCATCCAACGGTGTTAATGCGTAACTTCAATCAATCCACTATTGTCTTCAGTGAGTTACTATCTCACAACAGAACTGATTGAACTCCGCTGGTCACTACTTGTTTTGATAACAATTTTTATTTGATCTTTCAATCATTATTCTTTATCAAATAATGATAATAATGAATAAAAAAATGTTTATTTATTTCAAATATGTCTACCAAGTTATTAATAGATATTTGTGTCAAAAATGGACTTGGTTCACCGAATTTCACGATCCTGACACAAAGTTATATTAATCAAATCAATGGGAAGAAAATGAATTTATACATTGGACAAGTAAGTTCTAGTTAACATATATAACCTAATTTATTACTTCTATTTATTGCCCTGGTACAGCCGAGAGTGGGGAGAGTCCTCTTTTCCTCTCGAAATGCTCTCACATGGCCATTCGTATAAAGCTTCTGCCATGGAATTCTTACTCACTGCCTTCTCGTGGCATTACTGTTGTTTACGAAATTGAGAGGACAGAAAGCAAATGTCCGGCGCTTTAACCGGGTTGATAGCTACCATGGGACTGCATCTCCTTACGATGCTCCGCTGTCTTGTGGATCAGACCTTTAGATCAAAGGCTTTGAGTGTGGTCCCTTAAGAAAAGCACGTGCTTCAGTTTGGGCACCTGAGCAGTATCACAGCCCTCACACAAATCAAATGAGATTTGTGCGGCGCATATATAACTGGTACGAGAACAGAGAATAGTTGGTGTGGAGACGAAAGAATAAAGAATTCTGAGACAATTGGTTTACATTTTGCAAACGAAGTATTTGCTGTTTGAACCTCAAATTTTAATAAGACGTTCTCTAATTTTGTATTCACATACATTCGATTGTCTCCATTTGTGTTCTTGTTCAGTACGAGCTTTTAACATGAATAATAGTCGTATACGTTTGAAATATAAGTACCATTAAATTTCAAGTATATGATATTTTGAAATCGTAGTATCGGCGAGACTTGAAGGTCTTGGGTTCAATGTTTTAGGTACTGTGAGAGAACAATCCCTCCAGTTTTCGATAATTTTTTGGGCAGATATCAATCACTGGAATGCAATCAGTCAGTCAGTCAGTCACAACGTAGAACTTCGTACGCACGTACATCAGTTCGAGTTGCCATACCACATTAGCACAGAGATGCAGTTGTCGATTCAAATCCCATAGTGGTAGAAGTAGTAGGAGTATAATCAGAAATCCAAAAGATTAGGGTTTGAAGAAATTATTGAAGGAGTATAGTACAGTGAAATAAATTTGGAAAGAGAAAAACATAAAGACATGAGGAATTCAGAAGATTAGAATTTGGTAGAACACAAAGAGTGGATGCACCTTCGCCATTGCAAGCGATTTTGAGCCATGTCATTCAAGGTCTCTAACCATCGGTTGCTGTCATCTCGCGGATCCAAACCAGGTAGGCTACACCTACCAAGATGGCCCAGTCCACTTGTCAGTGACTTCATAGATTTGTGCCACGTTTTGGTCTGGCCACCCCTAGCTTTCTTCCAACCTACTCCTACACCATGAAACATTGCACGTCGGGGCAGTCGGTGGTTGGGCATACGTAACACATGTCCCAGCCATCTCAACTGATGAAGTTTCACTACTTCATCAATCGATTTGCCATCCCTACCTAGTACTCGTTTTCTAACATCTGCATTACTTACCCGGTGGTCCCAGGATATACGAGCAATGCTTCGAAGACACCTATGATCAAACACTAGTAGCCAATCACGTTAAAATAAAAGGAATATGATCGATTTTTCAAAGTGTTAGGTATGTTATTGAATTCAAATAGTGTAGTGAGAAGACAATGTTTATCAGAGCTCTGTTATATCTTTACAGGCAGCATTTTGAACAAGAATCAAGCTATACGTTGACTTTTCTAGGCATTCATATATATAAAAATTTACGAAAATGAACCAGACAGATCGGAAGATAAGACAAAAGGAAGAAAACAATGAATGACACCCTAATTATTAATAAATCAATCTGACGACAGTAAATTTTGTGAAAATGCAGCCATTCACTCTTCGTTTAGGATCTTGAAGCAATAATATATGATGAAACGAATGTTAATTCTGATTTCAAAAATGAATATTATTATTAATTTTGGCATATGTGCATCCTGTGCTCATTGCCCAATATCGCCTTAGACCATAGATATTGTGTTTAGCAGTGGAATGCCGTTTAATGCACGTTTCGTCTTATTTGGAACTCATCGGTTAGATGTACTGGATTTGAGTTTCGAAATGAACATCACCTCTGGGATACGAGCACATCTAGATAACAAGTCCCAGATAGGACGAAATGCGCGTTCTATGTTCCACCGATAGATACTATCCATCTCTGTTTATAATGAAGCTTCTTGTTTCTCTATAGACATATCCTAAAAATTTAAATGAACCCTTAGGCAGAAATTGGACCGCCGTTTAAATAAAATGCAATAGTTTTTGATAATTTCCTTGAAGAAGCTTCAATAAATTTGCTAAACGAACCGTTCACATTAAATTTTAATCACTGAGATTATTTCAAATATACCTTTTCCATTTTATTTATTTATTTACTTAAATTATAACCTTGAGACAAACCTATAAGGACATTTTGGTTCTCATAGCTGAAATCATGAGTCAATTGAAGCTAGACCACTATGGAAAACCTGGACGGCCGTTTCGTCCTACTGTGGTTCTCCTCAGCTGTGAGCGTCCACGATCCCGCCTCACGAGAATCGAACCCTGGACCTATCAGTCTCGCGCCAAAGCTCTTTACCGATAGACCACTGAGCCGTGATCTAAATGTGTTATTATCTAACTTCAACCAATTCACGAAGTTTGAGCAACCGTTCACTAATTGTCTTCAGTAAGTTGTTATCTCACAACAGGCCTGGTTTAACTTCACTGGTCACTGCTTCTCATTAGAACTCCAGGACATATATCTTGAAGTCAGTCCCTAGTGAGCATATGATTATAGATTACAAGAAGTTTTCTGGAGATTTCAGTATTTTAATAGTTGTGATCATGAGTCAGTTGAAGCTAGACCACCATAGTTCCTTTTTTTGTTTTTTTTTGTTTTTCAAAGGTCTTTTTACCACTTATAAATCGTCAATTCACTTCCAAGTACCCATCCATCACTATAGAAAAATCATTACAATCAGTTAGTGAATTAGCAATCATTTGGTTAGTTAATTATCATTTCATAAGTGACAGTAATCATAATAGTAATAATAATGATCTTGATCCAATTCATCATCAAAATAATCATCATGATCCTACAGAACCCTTGAAATCTTCTAATCATTTCATAAATATCATTCATGATCTTGATCCAATTCATCATCAAAATAATCATCATGATCCTACAGAACCCTTGAAATCTTCTAATCATTTCATAAATATCAATCATGATCTTGATCCAATTCATCATCAAAATAATCAACATGATCCTACAGAACCCTTGAAATCTTCTAATCATTTCATAAATATCAATCATGATCTTGATCCAATTCATCATCAAAATAATCATCATGATCCTACAGTATCCTTTAAATCTCCTAATCACTTCATAAATACCATTCATGATCTTGATACAGTTCATTCAGATTTAATGTATGATAAAGATCATAGTTGTGAATCTAAAAGAGATTCATATTTAAACAAAACAATTAGCCATAATATCAACAATGTAAACTATAATACTGAACTAGTTTCATCAAATATACTAACATTCTACCGTAAAACTCACAACTTTCAATCATCCTTACAACAGGATCAGAATGCAATTCATGACAAATTGTTAAGTAAGTATTTTCTTCGTATTACAGTTAAAGTGATCAATATTTTACCTCAAAAAATGATTTGGAAATCGTTTTCTGACAAAATCCGACTTACACGTTAGCAACCATCCCATTTAATAACGTGAGCAGTAATGAGGGTGGTGGAGATCGGCCTAATCAATCACTTTATCAATACCCGAGAACGATCACGAATGTTACAAAGAGTTATTGCATAACTATCAAGGGTTCAAAAGAGTTGTAAAAAAATGAATCTGCCCAAATAAAAACGAAATAAACAAAAAATGGGTTGTTAATGTTATTTAATGGTTCTGCGTCGTGGATGTTCACTGCTTAGGAGTCCCACAATAGGATAAAATAGCCGTCATACAGTGCTTCCAGGTTTTCCATAATGGTTTGGCTTTAATTGATTCACGCTTTCAACTATGAAAATAATAAAATCTCCACAAAACCCCTTCTGATTATTGTGAAATTGATTGCTTGATAAACTCTATTAAATGGTTTTAGTAGGCTTTGAACTTTTCTATTGGTTTTTCTAACTATAAATTCATCATTCATATAATGACAATAAAATTCTAGTTTCCCTAATACATCTACTAGCGGTCTGTTTTCTAATTTTGCCAGAAAGAAATCAGCTGGGATTGGGTATCCCATAATAACAACGACGCAGCACCTATAAAGTTCTTTATGAGAAATAATATCTGTTTATAGTATATCTGGATATGATTCCTTTACAGAAGAGATTGAGTGCTAATTGCCGTTCCTTGATTTTGTAACTCGCTAAATATGAAATTAACGATTTGTATAAGAGGTACATTCGTAAATAAAATGGATACATAAACTGACATTGTGAATTTCCTGCTCACCTTCAAATTGCGAATTCCATGAACATATTCAAAACTATCTTTTAGACGTAGCATCGCTGTTATGCTGGTTGTCTGAAGGAAACACCTTACTGATGTCACACCTCTGTTCATTCAGCAGTACGAATTCACATTCGGACCTTGGAATTGCTGCTTTTAGTCTTACCGCTCTTCAACCTACCTGTTTGGCATGATAGAACTTTGAGGAAAGATTGTTTTAACCAGTTTAGCTTGATTGGTTCATCACGATAGGCAATTCCGACCACCACGTCAAGGTAGCAGCAATGGTTGGGTTATTGAATTCAGATCATTTTATACACGATAATTTCTCTCACCAAACATTTGATGAAATTTATAACTGCATAATTGTTACTCTCAATCTATATGACTTCTATTTATTCTGATCATTATTCTAACAATTTCATTTAACGTGTGAACTTATTCAAATTTACAGTGAATATTAGTCATCTCGATGGTGACAATTTTATTTTTATTGAAATCATGAATCAATCTAAGTTAGACTACCATTGAAAACATAGAAGTATTGAAAAACGGTCATTTCATCCTAGTATGGAATTCATCAGAAATGTCAATCTATGAATGTACACAAGATAATCAAACGTAGAACCTACGGTCTTGTATACGAATGCTTAACACTTAACTTATCATAATGTCTAATGTTACACATATGTGATACATATTGTAAACAAGAAATATTTGTTTTAATTATTTTATTTTACTAGTTGAAATAATGAGTCAATTGAAGTTAGACCACCATGGAAATCTGGGAAGCAATGGGCGGTCGTTCCGTTCTATTATGGGACTCCTCAGTAGTTAGCACTCACGATTCCGGCTCACGAGATTCCGACACAAGACCTACCAGTCTCACGTGCGAGCGCTTAACCTCCAGACCACTGAGCAAGCCGGCATCCAATGGTGTTAATGTCTAATTTCAATCAATCCATGAAATTGAGCAACTATTCACCAATGTCTTCAGTGAGTTGATATCTCACAACAGACCTGGTTGATCTCCACTGGTCGATGCTTCTCACTAGAATTTCAGGAAATATTTTTTGAAGTCAGTCACTATTGAGCAAATGATTATAATCAGAAGGGGTTTTTGTGGATATTATAGTTATTTTAGTAGTTGAGATCATGAGTCAGTTGAAGCTAGACCATGATGAAGATCCTTGAAGCAATGGACGGCCGTTGACTCATTATCTCAACTATTAAACTTACTATAGTACCCAATAAAACCCCTTCTGATATGAATCATATGCTCACTAGTGACCGACTTCAAGAGGTATTTCCTGGAGTTCTAGTGTGATGTAGTAGATCAGTTGAATTTGAACATTAACACCGTTAATTGCCAGACGGCTCAGTGGTTTGAAGGTTAAGCACTCGAGCGCGAGACTGATAGGTCATGGTTTGGAATCTCGTTAAGCGGAATCGTCAATGCCCACTGCTAAGGAGTCTCACAATCGGATGAAACGACCGTTCAGAGCTTCCAGATTTTCCAAGATGGTCTATCCACAAAACTCTTTCTGATATTTCATTTTTCTTTACAAATTTTGACACTTTTAGACAATAACAATAATGATATGAATATGAATTCTTCAATGTTAAATGATTCAATAATTAATAAAATCAAATTGGATTATGACAATAAATTCAATTTACCATATAGTGAATTATTAAATGTCAATGATTCAAATGAAATAACTTTGAATCATAATCCATTTAAAATGAATGAAAGAAAATTAATGCAATTTACTTCATCATTTGATTGTAATCATTATGTAAGAAGGTCTATGGAAACGAATCACATTGTGAATCATGATACTACTAATACTACTACTACTACTAGTAGTAGTAGTAGTACTTCTACTACTACTTCGACTACAGATTGTAATAATAATAATAATAATAATAATAATAGTAATAAAAGTACAAATAATCAATTACAAAATACATTTGAATTGATGATGACATATGACTCAAATGATACAACTAGTTTAAATCATTCATTGAATGACTTTGAAATGATGCATAATGAGTTTCCTAATTCAGAATTATCATTATCATCACCGACTTCATTTTCATTTTCATCGTCGTCGTCGTCATCATCATCATCTTCAATATCATCATTATTAAAACTAAAAACATCAGAAACTTATCCCGAATTAATTCAATCTATTTCATTGAATAAGATTCATACATAAGATCCATTTAGTCAAGTTACAGATAATATTCTAATTGTTATCTATGACTATTTATTTAACTTTTCTATTGTTGACATACATATCGAAATGGCATAGTAACTAGTAGAAATTCTGTTTTGTTTTTTTTTTGTTTTACCCTAGTTACTAATTAATAATGGTATATATTAACTTATATCTAATGAATAAGTAGTATAATTTTTATCCATAATTTTATTTCTTTTAAAAGCTTATTTTATAACATAAAAAAGAGACTGTTGTACAGTTTGATTATATAATCAATGGAACAAATGGAACAAAAAAAGAAACAATTTTTTTCTTTTCACATTGCATAGTAACTATTCATGTTTTAATCAAATTCAAATATTGATACTACATTGTACAATATTTTAATAAATTTGAAAATATTCATTCATCTTTATCTCATCAGTAATCAATTTAGTCAAGTTATCAATTATATATTCATTAGTATCTAAGATTATTGATTTGATTTTGATTTTTTTTTTTGGTTGTTGTCAACATTGCATAGTAACTATTCATGTATCCATCAAATTGCAAATATTGGCGCTTCATTGTAAAATGATTCAATAAATTTAATCTTTATCACATTCATGTATATGAGAATAATGAATGAAATTCATTTATTTTTACAGAATCATTAAAAGAAATGGAATTCTATAATCAACTAAGGATTTTAAAAAAAATTTTTAAACTATTTTTTTCTTGTTTTGATGTTACTATGTGTGTTTGTTTTTTGTATTTTTGTTGTGTTTTTTTTTTGTTTTTTTTTTCTTGGTTATGATGAAATGGTTGGTTCAATTATCATTTAGTTCATTGTTTGTTTTATAAAATTGATAGTTATATATAATAAATGATTATTATATTTTGATTTGGTATTATTTGATTGAATATTCCCATTGATGTTTAGCACTGTAGTCCTAAACATCATCCCATTGCACAAACAACTGGCTATCAAGACTTAATAGCTAAGTGGATAATGCTATAACGTTTGAAGCGAAAGGTACTAGGTTCGAGTCCTTAGAGTGAACATCAACTCTGAGATGTTGGTTTATCCAGCTGATGAGATTGAAAAATTGATGTCAGCAAACAAATTTGGCGTTTATTTGTTTATTAAATGAATATTTTGTAGATATATCAACTGAAAATTTTCATAAAATCAAGACTCTCTCATCTAAATTACCTCATTTCAGAAGTAAATTCACTCTTATATTCACACACATTTGAATAAATGGGCCACAACTCGTTTTCAAAGTAAGAAAGGTTTAGAAACTTAAAGATAAACTATCGTAATAATGAATTAACTTGGTATTACTTATTTGAATCCTCCCATTGATGTTTAGGATTACAACTGGTAAGTCTCTTATTGACATACTGTGCGTATTGCCTCGATATAGCCTAAATTTACAAGCATTGTAATCAAAGATGGATGGATAGTGACTAGCAGTGGAATCCAGTTTGATACGCGTTTCGTCTTATTTGGGACTCGCCAGCTGAATGTACCTGCATCTTAGAGTTGATGTTCACTCTGGGACTCGAATTCAGTACGTTTAGCTTTTATCCATCCTTCTGAAGCTACATTTTGACCTTGTTAATTATTCGCTTATCAACCTTGACTGTTTTTATATGACCGTATGTAAGTTCATTTTTCATTCTGTTCATCATATGTAACATATTTTCGTCTGCCTATAAATATCGATTAACGCTTGACTAAATGAAGTCGGCTCACTTGCCTTCTTCAATCTGCTTTGGTCTTCCCTCTTTGCTTCGTCTCCTTAATTCGTTGTTCAAATCAATGATGAGTGCATGAAATATACATTTTCAAATTAAATTCTCGTATTCGGCTTATTTAATTCCGTTATTCACCAATGTGGATTAAGTCGATGATTATATAAAATGATTGTCGACAAGTAACATGAACAAATACAGACGAAGATAACTAATGTAGCACTAGCCTCTGCATCAACATGCCTCAACATACACAAAGGAAAAAGCAAGATCCTCAAATACAACACGGAGAACACCAATCCAGTCACACTTGATGGAGAAACTCTGGATAATGTGGAAACATTCACATACCTGGGAAGCATCATTGATAAACAAGGAGGATCGGATGCAGATGTATATGCGAAGATTGGAAAAACAAGGACTGCATTTCTACAATTGAAGAACATATGGAACTAAAAACAACTGTCAACTAACTTCAAAGTGCGAATCTTCAATACGAATGTCAAGACAGTCCTATTGTACGGAACTGAAACGTGGAGAACTACTAAATCCATCGTCAAGAAGGTACACGTATTTATAAGTTGGTGTCTAAGCAAAATACTCAACATTCTTTGGCCGGATACCATTCGCAACAGCGTTTTATGGGAGAGGACGAACCAGCTTCCATTTGAAGAGGAAATTACGAAAAGACGTTGAAAGTGGATAGGACATACATATAATCCCTAACTTGGAATCCGGAAGGGAATCGGAAAGGAGGAAAACCAATGAACACATTGAGCCGGGAAATAGAAGCAGATATGAAAAGGATGAATGTTAACTTGTAAGAACTGGAAAGGATTGCTGAGGACAGAGTTGGATGGAGAATGCTGGTGTGTAAACTATGTTCCTCCATGAGGGGTAACAGGCGTATGTAAGTAATTGGCGACAAGTATGTCTCATTAGCAATTAGAAACGATCAAACTAGATTCAGATATAGGCGACAATAAATTAATCATTCCGTCGATAACATCGTCCGATCTAAATTAAGGGCTATTAAATATGCTACTGATATCGACTGATATAAGTCTCATAGATCAGTAATAGAATATATTCAAAAATACATTAGGAATTATCTCAAACATCAATGGGAAGATTCAAACAAGTAACAAGTAAGTGAATTTAAACTTCACCCCATTGCACAAGCAAGTGGCTATCAGGACTCAGTAACTGAATGGATAAAGCGATGGCATTTGAAGCGAACAATACTGGGTTCGAGTCACAGATTGAACATCAACAACTCTAAGATACAGGCACATCCAGATGACGAGTCCCAAATAGGACGAAACGCGCTACCAAATGGATTTCACTCCTAGCCATTATCAATCTTTACTTACAATGATTATCACAATTCATTTAATGAAAATATATAATTTATTTTATTAATTACTATGGCAAAACAATTCAAATGAAGTTTAACTTGTGAAAAATAAAAAATATTTAAAAAATAAAAAGAAAGGGTAACATGTCAATAAATGATAACACATAAAAGAACAAATGAAATATTATTTGGCACTTGAATTCCTTTACTACTTAATCATACATATGTATATAGATTTTAGATCAAAGAAATTCCCTTAGCAACAAAAGAAAAACAAAAAAAAAATTAAACAAGAAAGTACGTAACTAATTGAGTTCTGTTTTTTTTTTCTTTTTTTTTTAAAAGATAAATGAAGATGGAAACAAAAATTTTTTTTTTTGTATGTATCTATATAAACAATTTGATTCATTCAATTGTTGGCAACAAAAAAAAAAGATTTTTTTTTAGACTGAAATGAATATACCATCTGTAACTAATTAAGTTCCGTTTTGTTTTTTGTTTTTTTTTTAAGATAATTAAGGTGGCAACAAAATTTTTTTTTGTATATATGTATAGAAACAATTTGATTCATTGAAACCTTAGCAACAAAAAAAAAACGATCCCCCCTTTTTTTTATTCGTCTCCATTAATTTTTTGATCATCATTTAATTTTAACCATTTTAATTCATTATTTTTAATACGTTTATGTTTATTTTCAGCTTTTTGTTTAAGATTATAATATAATAATTGTAATGATGCAAATAAGGTTAAAATCATTTTACCATTTAAATCTTCTAAATGTTCTGGTAAAGTAAATACTCTAGCACCAGCTTTATGACAACATGATATAGCATATTGACGTATAGATGCATCATCAATATTATTACCTAACCATATATCTTTATTAGTTGAATTAGGTTTAATATGTTCAAGTAATTGTAAGATAGGTATACCAGTAGCTAGAGCTGAATCTCTAAAGCTACTAAGTGGTTTAGCTCTTGCTTCCATCATTTGTTCATTTACCCATGTTAGAATATCTTTATCATCATGTGGAATATGACTTTCACCTGGAGTAACCTAAAATAAGTAAATATAAATGATAGATTAGAAAAAGGGTTTTGTAGAGATTTCAATATTTTCATACTTGAAATCATGAGTCAATTGAAGCTAAATTACTGTGGAGTTCAATCAAGTCTGTTGTAGAGATATCAACTCACTGAAGATAATTGGTGAACAATTGCTCGAACATCGTGGATTGGTTGAAGTTAGACATTAACACCGTTGGATGCCTGCTCAGTGGTCTATCGGTTAAGTGATCTGGTATGAGACTGGTAGATCCTGGATTCGAATCTCGCGAGTGCGGGATCATGGATGCGCACTGCTGAGGATTCCCATAATAGGACGAAACGGCCGTCCAATGATTCCAGGTTTTCGATAGTGGTCTAGCTTCAATTGACTCATGATTTTAACTGTGAAAAAAACATCAATTAATTAACAGACTTTTTGTGCCTTCTCATCAAAATGATAATATGTATTATAAGAATATAGGATAAGATTAGTTTTAAATGGTCATATTGTTGTGACGTGCGATTTCCCAAAATCTGATACCGATACATGATATACTAGGCATTAATTCCCTAATTGACTATTTGAGCGAGAAAACAAGAGTGAGCGAGAAAGTGTATTGAACTGCCGAATGAAATACACAGATACTTATTCATATATTTACCAGTCTATCTTTAGGAAATTGAATCATTGACCCCAATGGAGTGCATTTGAACCTTGGATCACTTTTGATTGTCATCGGTTTATCTACTCATTAGGTTAATTCCGATTGGTGCTCTATATCACATTTCCCTCCTGAAAAATAAGTCTTGCTTATTCGATTTAACTGAAGGCATTGAAAAAAATCTTGTATTCTTGATGATTTTCTTAGGGTCTGGCAATTACATATTCTGAGCTGATCCTGATGATCCCAACTGACTGTATCGATCAAATAATGTAGTTGCAGGTTCGAGCTAAGAGGTCTTTTATCTGAAATTATTCGTCTGTCAATGTCGTAAGTTTCTTAAAAACATTGGTAATCAATTAGGAAACTAACGATTAACTCTCATCTCCTTAAGTTTATAGTCCCTTCTTCATTTTCAATACATGCTATCAAATAAAGTCCGAATCTTCCTTCCTTACATTAGGTCAGCAGAACAGACACCGTTAGGTGAGGCTGGATTTGGGGTTGTTCTCTATCCCCTCAAGAAATTCTAGACAACCTATTCCGTCGTGGCCTCCTCTTGTGACTTGATAAGAGCTCGCTTATGAGTATCTACAAAATACTCAAATTAACCTTTTGACTGTGGATAGTAGGGTGATAATTGAATGTGTGTGATGGCGTTGTTTAAACGGAAGTTTGAGAGGATTTCCAATGTGAAGTGAGGTCTCTTGTCTGTAACTAGTGTGGACATTAATATATATAATTCAGTCTAAGCAAAGATGGATAGTAGCTAGTAGTGCAATTCAGTGTAACACGTGTTTTGTCCCTTTTCAGACTCGTCAGTTGAATGTACGTGCTTTCCAGAGTTGATGTTCATACCAGAACTCGAACCCAATACTGTTCACTTCAAACACCATCGTGTTATCCACATACCTACCGAGTCCTATTAGCTTATATCAGTGAGAAGATTCAAGTAAACAATACCAAGTTAATATAATTCAGTCTCTTTCTTTCTTTTTATCTTTGTTAGAGAAAGATTAATTCTGTGTATCAAATTTTTTGGCAACGTTACCATCTATTTTTTTTTGTTTGTTTTGTAAAAGCATGAGTAAACTTGTAAACTAGATATTTCTTTGGATTTATTAGTCTGAACAATATGCCAATTCCTATGATTTTCTACTTTCTTTCATCTAGTTGATTAATGGTAAACCTGGAAACACTGGACGGCCGTTTCGTCCTATTATGGGACGGTTAAGGGCTTCGGCTCGAAACTGGTAGGTCCTGGGTTCGAATCTCGCGCGAGCGGGTTCGTGGATGCGCACTGCTGAGGAGTCCCATAATAAGACGAAACGGCCGTCCAGTGTTTCCAGGTTTTCCATGGTGGTCTAGCTTCAATTGACTCATACTTTAAAACTATGAAAAATACTAAATCTCCACAAGACCCCCTCTGATAATTAATGGTAAACAACAATCAATATTCTTCATACACTGATGATTTCACCCGATGTTGTTTTGAAGTGAATATGTTACAATATATAAAACACATTAGATCTAATCATTAGAGTTCAATATTTATAAATGTACACAGTATTGTATACTACATATTAAATGAATTATATTTATTTTGATGGAGTTCTGTTCTCTGAGCTGGATTGTTTGGTAGTAGAGCTTTCATCGTCCTTCTGAATAATATCATCAGCATTTCACTTCTACCCGAAGTTTTTGCTGATGATGTCCTTCAGAAGGACGATGAAAGCTCCACGATCAAACCCTTTAGCTCAGAAAACAAAACTACATCAAAATCACCCACCTAAGCTACAAATTTTCTCCACCATCTCAAAATTATACGACTTATATTTATACTATCAACAGAATCAGTATCTGAACATGAATTGAATGGAGAAGAATCATGTTTGATCTTGCTTACCCGTAGGGTGCCAAATCTACGACCAAACATTAGTTTTAGATTATTGGAAACTATTTTATTTCTCTTATGTTGTTTTGATTACTTATCTTTCATAGTCAAAATCATGAGTCAATTGAAGTTAGGCCACCATGGAAAACCTGGAAGCACTGGAAGGTCATTTCGTCCTATTGTAGGACTCTCCAATAATGCGCATACAGAATCCCGTCCCGTGAGATTCGAACTCAAGACCTATTACTCTAGCGCGCGAGCGCTGAATCTCTAGATCACTGCGCCGGCATCCAACATTTTTAATGTTTAATTTCAACTGATCCACGAAATTGAGCGACACATCCATCATTGTCTCCAGTGATTTACTACCTCATAACAGACCTGGTTGAACTCCACTAGTCACTGCTTCTCACTAGAACTCCAGGAAATATCTCTTGAAGCCAGTCACTAGTGATCTGTTTTTTTTTGAATCATTGAGGTTATGTAAGTCTCTCACTTTTATTATGGATATGTCCCTACAATACTCATACCGCTGAACAGCCGAAGCTTCAGTAACATATGTGATTATTGCAACCAATGTTACTGATGCTTTTATTTTACAGCTCGTGGCAATTATTATAATATGCCTCAGTCTCAATTTGGACCGAGCGATAAAGGTTCCTATTCTAACAAACGTCTTCCTTCAACATATATTACATCGAAGGACAATATCATGGTAGTGTGTACAAGGTCTACAAGTCATTTAATACCCGCAATTAAAAATACAGGAACTTCTAAGTGGTGTCATTTGTTTTAGCCGCTTAATTGTCAATTCTTCTCTATAATTCTCTGTGAACCAATCGTACATGAGCACTAGGTGCTGAAATCGACGCCGTGACCTTGAAATCGCTCAAACGCTCGTCCATAAATTATAGTCTCGCTCAGACTACTTATACCGGTAATGTTACCTTGGTGTAAGAGTAGTTTTGAAGAAATGTAGTCTCAATATAGTATTAAACAATGAAAAAGTAAAATTAACATATACATTCATTATAAAAACTTACTTCATGAAGTAATTTAAATATATATGCTTGCATCAATGTGAAACAAACGCCCAAAACTAATTTACGATCCCTTTTTTGTATATCTTTACCACTAACATTAACAAAACGTATATTCATTGATTGTGCCGAATCAATCACTAAATTACAATTCCCTGTTTCTTGAAATAAACGTCTTTTAGGATCAAAATCTTGATCCACTAATGACCAATCCACTGCACCCGGTTTAATTTTATCAAATAATTGTAATAATACTAATCCATTACTAAGATCAGTGTACAAGTGTGTTACATATGGTTTAACACCTAATGAATTAATCCAATTACGATAAGTTCTTTCTTCCAATGTTTCACCTTCTACCAGGAAATCATCACGACGTGCATCTAAACCTGGATACATATTGAATAATGTAGCAAGAAATGCTAAATTTAAACGATCACGATTATCATTATTCTTTTCACCAGCTAGATATATATCTTCTGGTGCTAAAGTAAATGGTGTACCCAATGTTTCATTATTATTCAATACATTCATTGCTCTTTCTTGACGACTTGTTGAACTTAAAATTTCACTAGCAGACATTAATTTACAACGTTTATCGATTGGTACTATTTGTTCCATTAAATGTGCATAGACAACGGAATCAGCTAAATCTGAATTGAAATTTGTAATACGTCTATCACAACCAGCACGATGTAAATGATAATTCACCCAACGCATTAATAATTCTTCTGGTTTCAATGTAGATAAATCTTCCGCAGTTTCTCCATCATGTAGTAAAGCTATTAATTCTTTATGTCTGTTCAGTGTAATTGTATCGATTAATCCACGACGTATCAATTGCCAAATTAATCCTAGTACAATATGTCGTTTACCTTGCATAATATCTTCTGGACCAGTATTTACTACACAACATCCAATGGAAGCAGCTGAATTAACAGCTAATGTAAGATTTTCATGAACCTAATATTTAAAAACAAAAATAAGAAGAATGAATGATGATAGTGTGATCATACGGATTATTTACTTAGGAGATTTATGATGTAGCCGTATAATGTGCTTGGTCCACCAGGGTGTTTGGTACCTGATTGGTTGAGCCACAGGATTGGGCTATACTGTTCGGATTGTAGCGTTGAAGCCTATATAGTGTCTGGTTCTCCTATACGGTGGGTTAAGCCTGAGCAGTGTCTGGCTCTCCTGTTAAACGAGATTGAGCTGTACCGTTTGGGTTGCCGAGTGAAAGTCTGGATGGTGTTCGGTTCTACCGAAAACCAGTGCAAGATTGCCCTGGCCTATAAGGGTATATTATATAACTAATAACGTATAATGTGCTATTGAGTCAGAATGATCTGATATGTAAACTTGATTCCACTGCTTAAGTTATGTATATACATAGTGAATCAGAGAGTGTAGTTAACATCATGGAGATTGAATGAAGAATACAGTAACTACATTATAAACTAGTGTTAAAATCAATCAAACATTAGGTACATCTTTCAGACCGTAAATGATTTCATATCAAGTCATTTCGTATTGTTTACTTCAATCTTCCGATTGGTGTTTGGAGCTGGAATTCATCAAAGATAGTTGGTGGGTAGCAGTGGAATCCAGTTTCACGTACGTTTCATCCTATTTGAGACTCGTTGACTGGATGTACCTGAATCGCACAGTTGTATTCACTCCAGGACCCCAACCCAACACCGTTCGCTTGAAACGCCATCTTAATATCTACATAGCCATTAGCTTGTGCAATATGGTCAAGTTTAGATTCGTTTTGTATTATTTATTTGAACGTTACGACTGATGTTTAGGGCTGTGAATGATCAGTCTCTTATTGGCATGTGCGCACGTCGTACGTATTGCCTCAATTTTGCTTACGTCACAAGTATTGTAAGCAAAGATGAATGGTGGTTGATAATGATATGCAGGATGCGCGCTTCATCCTATTTGGGACTCGTCAGCTGGATGTATCTGCATCGCATAGTTAATGTTTACTCTGGAACTTGAATCCAATACCGTTCGCTTTAAACAGCGTCGCGTCATCCACGTAGCTACTAAGTCCTGATAGAATGAAATGCACATCCTTTGTTTCAAGACTAACCACTATCCATCTTTGATAATAATATTATCTATAATTCATAACAATATTTTGTCTTCACAATTGTTTGATCACTGGGTGGTGATCAATGTCATGTGTGTACAGTCCTTCTTAGTGCTGATCGAATGCTATCGTTCAAGTTGTGATGTGGCTACTAGTCTAGGTGGCTCGACACTGTGTGCACCATACTGAGATAAGATGGTGGTTGAAGGTGGTCAACAGGGGACCCTGGACCCGAGTTTCGTGCTACTTGGCACTCATCACCAAGGTGTACCTGTAATCTTGAGGGAACTGGTGCTCCCTGATGGATTCGATTCCGTGACACTCAGTTTTACAGTCAGAGACGTTACCACTGAGCTACTCGGGCCGCGACCGACCTCCTGTAAGACTGAAATGTAATCACAATTGATTTATCACTGGGTTGTGATCAATGTCATGCGTGTCAAGTCATTCTTGTCTTTCTCTTCTAAATCAAGATCATCTTTATTTCAATAGCTCTAATTGATGTACATCAATATTGATATTGTTGATGACCTGATTGTTACCGGAAAATTCATCCTAGCTACACATATATGGTCACTTCTAATTATGTATGTAATGTGAAATTTTAATCATTTTAGGATTATTTCATTTATATTTCTCTAGTACATCATTTATTTTTTGGTTAAACTCTTTAATGTTGACCTCGTATTATGGATTAGAAAGAAAGTTATACATACGCATACGCATGGTTGAGGTCCGCATGACTATCGCGTAACCAATGGTTTGTAGACTTGAGGTGATGTGGCTCAGAATCGATCATATTGGTGCAGGTGTATACACACTTTACCTTCACTTATTATTGATTAGAAACAAATTTACACATACACATGTTTAGGGTCCGCATGGCTATCGCGTAACCAATAGTTGGAGACTCTAGGTGACATGGCTCAGAATCGATCACAATGGTGTAGGTGTATACACTGTTTATCTTCCCTTAAACCTTGAGATTAAAATTGCTTCATATATTTCCTTCTTCCTGTACTATATCCTATACTATATACATTCTTTCTTTTATATATTACCACCATCAAATTACCTACATCTATGCATTCGTTATTCATCTTGTTGTGTTAATGAGTAAGGTATGACAATTTGAACCGAAACATACGTATGTACCTGGTTCTACATTGTCACTTACTGACTAATATATATATATATATGCATACTTTAAATACCAATATAATATCGAATTTATTTTAATGAGATTACTTGAATGGTATTTAAAAAATGAAACACTCATGCATACACGTACACACACACACACACACACTTTTATATCTTCACTTATGTGTTGCTATGGCAACAAACTGTAATTATTATTAATATTAATTTTATAATCATTTTCTTTTATCAAATTCACATTATAGTATCATGATATGAAATTAAGTTATGTATACTGTATTGTTGACAAGTCACCTATATATATATAAATAGATGTATATACTATTCATGCTTATTATGAATATTAGGTACCGTTTTTATTATTGATTATAAAAAAGAAGATTTTCATTATCAATAATCATATATACATTCTTGTAGTTATTGATTAAACCTTGAATGTTACTATGTGGTGTGCATTTTTTTTTGTTTGTTGTTGTTGATGTTGTACGTGCTTCCTTTCACTTATGAACTAACCATAGTAACAATATTCTCATATTGAATAGGGTATAAGTAATCATTTAAGTAACTAATCAATAATCATATTAATAATTATATTGCACTATATCCATAATTGATAAATTGGTGACAAGTCATAGATATACAATATACAAAACAAGAATATCTACATACACACACACACACACACACACAGAGAACACAGTGTATTATATGTTATCTTGATACTAAAATAGAATATGAATTCATTGAAAAAAAGAATATTACTGAATCAAATGAAGAGAATTCATAATGAGATAGATAATTAAATGAATGAATGTCAGAGAGATGAGCACTGATGAGGAGTCTTATAATAATAGGGACGAAACGGTTAACTAATTCTTTCAGGTTTTCGATGATGGTTTAGCTTCAATTGACTCATGATCTTAACTATCACTAAAACCCCTTCTGGTATAAATAATTGATAAATGAATTTCTTAATACATTTCTTAATACATGCCCTGGTACGGCCGAGAGTGGGGAGAGTCCGCTTTCTCTCTCTAAATGCTCTCACATGGCCACGCGGATAAAGCCTCTGCCAGGGAATTCCTACTCACTGCCTTCTCGTACCACAGGTGTTGTTTACGAAAGTGAGAGGACGAAAACCAAATGTCCGGCGCTTTAACCGGGTTGGTGGACACTCTCCGTGTCCACCTGGGGGAGTTGGAAAACCCTCATTCCAAACCATTGGTGCACAGGGCTCCAGTATCGTGAGGGAACAAATGGCGTGTGACTCAATCGTTGGTCACAGACTACTATGGGACTGCATCTCCTTACAATGCTCCACTGAATTGTGAATCAGACCTTTAGGTCAAAGGCTTCGGGTGTGGCCCCCTAAGAACACCACCTGCTTCAGTTTGGGCATCTGAGCAGTATCACAGCCCTCACACAAATCGAATGAGATTTTTGTGGCGCATATATATCTGATGTCCCCTTTGTACCAATATTTATGTGTTTAAATAAATTAATTAATTAATTAATAGATAAATGAAGTTACCAGGACCTGTTGAAGACTTCTCTTGCGTTACACAATACTTAGTTACATTGATATTTGCTAGCTGAATATAATCAGTAAGAAGCCTAGTTTTTATTATTTTTGTTTGTTAGTTTACACATGTCATCAAAAGATATCTATAGAGGGCTTCGGTCATTGTTTTGAGATTCCTGCTTGTATCACCCAATATTGACAATCAAAAATATTCTCATTAAGCTATTTCTGTTATGATTGAACACTGATTGATCATTCAACAACATTAATTGAACGTGATCGCTTAGAAAGTCGTGAGTTCAAACTTATTAGAAATCTCATACCGTACACCCTAGCTCCGGTAGATACCGTAATTGAATTCAATCAGTGAATTATATCATCGACAACTTAAACTAATCAAAAACCCCACTATCCAAATTAACCAATAGGTAGACATTAAATAATCATTGACATTTCCAAACATTCCACGTATATCAAGTCAATCACATGACTACTGCATCTACCTGGTCTCTAAATCGTCTGTAGATACTGTAGCTGTAAATAATTCCCCAAAATAAATAGCTGTGTAAGTGTTCGACATTGGATGCTGACCAAAGTAGTTTTAGTGGACTCGTTTAGCTGAAGGCGCTCGATCATGCATCCGTACCAAATCAGATTACAGGACGACGTGGGAAACAACTCCTACGATCATTCTCCAGATTAGATCAGTCACTTCTCGATATATTGATAACCCATCAAATATATCTTCTAACCTCCTCTCTTCTGACTTCTGATTTTAATTGGGTGGACGCAATTCGATTATAGAAGGTATTACTGGTAAGGAGTTGTCAAACTACAATACTGATGGTATGTTCAATACTTTATGAACGTTACTAATGATTCTGAACAATTCTTATTGAGTAAGAATGAATGGAACACATAACATGGTCACAGTAGACTATTTCTAACTAATATTAAAATATTATAAAGTTGAGATCATGAGTTAATTGAAGTTAGACCACCATGGGAAACCTGGAAACACTAGATGGCGGTTTCGTCCTATTATGGGACTCCTCAGCAGTGCGCATCCACGAACCAGCTCTTACGAGCGAGATTCGAACCCAAGATCTACCAGTCTCGAGCCAGAGAACTTAACCGATAGACCACTGAGCAAGCTGGCATCCAACAGTGTTAATGTCT